GTTGTCCTCACTCTCTAAAAGCTGGAGAAAAGAGATGGGTTTTGCAGCATGTGCTTAAGGGCAACACATTCAACCTACTTCAGTTCATGAAAACACAACGGACAGAGCGTTGGTTTATATGACAGTAAGGCCTGATCCAGCAACTCGCTCTCCACAGATGAGCCCTGGTTGTCAGAGTCTCAGTAGAGCCAATGGGGCTCCACTTTGGTGCAAGAGACCCAGCTTGACAGGATCAGATTGCAGGATTGGGGTCATAGTTATGATCACGTAATGCAGGGCCACCTTAAATTGGTGCAGGCTTTTTCGGTTCCTTTTACATGCCTAGCACACATATTGTGGGGTTCTGTATGGTCATGATGGCATTCAAGAGATCTGAAGGAGAAACTTCTTACAAGTGGGCAGCCTATCCTACTGGAGATGGGCATTTCCCAGAGGAATTATCATAAACGTTTGCCATTAATTATTTACTGGCACTATTGCTTTCAACCATTCTCTACAATGAGCTGCCACATTTGAGAGATTAAAGACAAACCAAGACCATTAAGCACATGGCTTGACTTTGTATTATCAGGATCCCAAAACTGCAATCCCACTTCACAGTTCAGTTTGGTGCCAGCTATTTTCCTTGATGTAATGCAGAATTGAATGTTTAATGGATTTCTTTCCCCTGAAGATTTTTTCCCCACTAGTTGGAGAAAGATAAATACAAGTGTGAATATGAGGTAAAAACTGGCAGGCATGCCAGACCAAAAAAATAAAGAAAAATTGCATTTCAATTGTGACAAGTTAGTTATGGCCTGACTATCCGAATTCCTTAGCATCTGGAATGCCCATTAAAGGCAATGGCAGACCTCCCATTGACTAATGGTAGAGGATCAAACCCCCAAAAGGTATTATATTAATATACTACAAATGACAGGATAGATGCAGAGGGCCAGATGCTAATCACAGCCCCATGTGGTGTGCATCACTGCACATCGATAACTGCACTTTAACGAAGTGCACCACTGAAACACTATTGCTGTAGGTCAGGATGTACAACAACTGTGTTAACATGCCTTAGGGCATTACTAATACACCTGTTTTTTCTTGTATATTTATCCTAAAATAATCTAATCTAATTACCATCTTGACAGATCTGACATTTCTGAAATCAGAATTTAGAGCATGAAAAAAAATTGCAAGCCAGCCCTGAGAATTTAACTGACTGGTAAGGCAACTGATGGAGTAGCTGAACTACAAGGACATGAGAACAAACATGTAGATTTGCTAAGTTAAGATGAACAAGCCAAACATGCTCAAAACAAGTTATGGTAGGTGTCCTTTAGCAAAGTCTGCTTCCGCTTCTTCTGGTGTTTAAGAAAAAACCCCACCAAAATACAACTTAAGTGTTGAAAGTCTGCCCTGCTTTCCACTGCATTGAATGTAGCTCGCATGCTACATACAAGCAGGTGTGACAAGAGTGTTACTAGTATTTAAACTGGTCCTCAGTTTAAGACCACCCCAGAAAACTGGGCAGGTAGCAACCTTTAAATTCTTAAAGAACGTCACAACACATCATTCAAAGAATCCTCCTTCCCAAGCAACAGAGCTACATCCTCCTCAGGTCTGGAGAAGCCTCTGTTGACCTAGTGCCCTGATTCCATGGGATAGGGAGCCAGATGGCCAGTGAAACCTCTATTCCAGTCTAAATTTGCTCTTGCAGATATTTATTAAACAAAATGTAAAATCCTACATTAATATAATATTAAATCTGCAAATTTAGGCCCTGATCCAGCAAAGCACTTAAGCACCTGAGTAATCTCAATGAAGTCAAAGGGACTACTTATGTGTCTAAATTTAAACATGCTTAAATGCTTTTCTGGCTCAAAGCCTTAAGCACAAAAGTTACATAATGAACATGTTAAGGTTTGTATAGCAAGATTGATTGGCTCACATTGTGTCATCACACAATTTTGTCATTTTTTAACCTGCATAACCATTTTTCTTGCGCTTTAGCCACAGAGGATATTGTCATTTTAGAGTTCAGTTGATTTCTTAACTTACATAAAAAGGGGCTGAAACTATATACTGAAATAAGGCATGAGTGACAGCAGTGTGTTATAAGGGATGTCACACTGCAATCTTAACTTTAGCTTTGGCTGTCATTAAAGTGGTAACACAGGTTTGTCAGATCCCAAGCACAGAAGTAATTATAAATGATTAATGTACGCATTTCAGAAGCAAGTATCAGAAGGGTAGCCGTGTTTGACGCTTTTACAGATCCAGACTAAGAGTCCTGTGGCACCTTATAGACTAACAGACGTATTGGAGCATAAGCTTTCGTGGGGGAATACCCTGTATCCAACGAAGTGGGCATTCACCCGCGAAAGCTTATGCTCGAATATGTCTGTTAGTCTGTAAGGTGCCACAGGACTCTTTGCCGCTATTTCAGAAGCACAGTCTTTATCTATCAAATCATTACTTCCCCAGGATTGTACATCAGCAAATGCAATAATATACTTAATACAGGTGTCACACTGTGCTGAGTATCTGAGTCATCTCTTCTAATTAGGTCAGAGCTATTCATAGTTAGGTCAGAGCTGTTCTTTTTATTCCACACTAGAAATCAACCAATATGGCTTGTGATGCCTTAAATTTGCTAAACCTTTCCAAATGCTGTATACCAGGAATAACTGCATTGTTTTTATAGGAAGATTAAAATAGTAAAGAGGAGGCATTAAGTATTGGTACTCCAGGTAGCATGTGTGAAAGTTTTTCCTTGACAGGAAAGAACAAACGGGTGACCACAGAGCTGCCAATGAAAACCGGTAGCCTTTCACAACCAAAATATAAAATTTGTATATAGTTGGAAGGAATAACCGGTTCTAACTCAAATTCGTTTTGGACCTGTCACTAATTCATTTGTAAAATGTCGAACACATAGGATTATTCTAATAAAGACAAGACTCTGTCAGTGCTAGTTTTCTGATCTGTTTCTTTCAATGCCAATTTAGCAGTAAGAGAGAAGATGGGTAAGAATAGACACTTTTCCAGTAGGAGCAGAACTCAGCAAACAGGAAAGATGTTTTGAAAATGTGCTTTCAGTTGAACAAATTATTCTACTGACATCTGAAAATCACCTGCAGATATTAAAGTGAAGTGTCTTATGTTTTGCCAGAATTTTTAAAACCCACTGTCTATAGGATTTGTATATCAGATTAGACATGGAATGGTTTTTGAGAAGTTAGGGTAGGACCCCAAGCCCATTTAAATCAATGGGAGTCGTTCTACTTACTTCATTGTACTGGGATCAAACCCTTTCATACCTGCTAACAATTAGAAATGAAGGTAAATATGTGCGGCATTTGCCCAAATACCAGTTTCTGTGTATTCTGTACATTATTTATTGTATAAATGTGTCCGTATCATCGGACCTGATCTTGCAGAGCTAAGGCAGAAAAAAGAGACAACCTAGGAAGAATGTTGATGTAAGCGCTGAGCCATGTTTTGGAATTGTTTGCATTGTGTTTAATAAATGGAGCCTGCATGCTGATTTAGGATTCTGGGCATGATGGGAACATTACATAATTTATGGAAATGCTGCACATGCAAGGACTGCATGATTGGGCCAACTGCCTATACCGCTACTTCGCAACAGTATAGAAAAAAATTAAATGTAACCAAAGTTCATAGTGAAGTTGACTTTTTTCCATACTCTACAAGAAGTGACCATGACAGCAACAGTTATTTTAATAAAAGTTCCAGCTCAGAGACATTTTTTGGCCAATAAAGGCATAAAACTAAGGAGATGGACAGCTATACCATGCAGTATACAAGATGCTTCTTATCACGAGTACTTTTAGTTTCTTACCATTCTTCTCTATACAAAGGCTGAAAGAACAGACAACTGTGACCTCCAACTGGCAATGCTGCATAGCTGAAAATGGGCGACTATACTGGGCACAAAACCTCAACTATTGTATTGTTTCTAAAGGCACACTTTATAACCAGCAACTTCCAGCTTCAAGAAGGTCCAGTAAGTAAATTAATACACTCCCACAGCTGACTAGATATTGGATAAAAACGGAGGGTGGTCTGTATTAGAAGATAAGAATTAACTAGCAAAGTAGCATACCAGGAATTAAATAGTTTTAAGATATTTCACAGAGGTATATGAAGGAACACCTGCAGGAATACTCTAGATAGCACATCCAAAATAACCATTTCTGTACATGCTCTATTGTCAGCTTATGTCAAGTATACAGCGACATTAAATTCTACTTCAGCTATGATTCTGGAGTTGATCAGAAATTCATAGAAGAGCAAAGCATAACCACCTTCCAATACCCCTAATGTTTTTCTTAATAATTTCTTTTTCCTGGCATTAAGGCTAATGCAGCTGTGGCATGAAATAGTTCCTACAGTAGTTCAAAGGCCAAAATCAATTGATGTAAGTATATAAAATGTAATATCTGCCACAAATAGTACATTTTAATGCCGAACTTCTGCATTCTTTATATGGACAAGATTAGACAGCAGGGAAGTTTGTTTTTCCTGGTAGCGGTTTCTTGCAACTCCAAGAAGAGTATTTAGTTTAGGTAAATAGGTAACTGACTTCTAGATGCAGGCCCTTACTGAAAGGGCAATATGTTTTTTAAAATAGCAAAATTATTTTTAATTGATTTGTTAAATTTTTAATATAAGACTCAGCTAGCTCACTTTTACACATTAAACAAGATCACGAATCATTCTGCATGCCATTTTAAAAATCACCCAAAGGAAAGCAAAATTTCTGTTTTTCTATTTGAATTTATATCAGAGTGACCATTTTAAGAGGAATTCAATAGGTGCACCAAAATCTTTCGGTCTTGTACTTGAAACACTATCGTGGTAATAGGATTTTATAAAGGACCTAATTTACGGCATGCAACTTCTAACATGGATGACAGACAATTCTATATGTACAATTTGAAAACTATTAAACTATTAAAGAAATCATCCAGTGAATAACAAAAAAAAAAAGTTAAAAATGCTTTTAATGTTCTGTCAAACAGCACAGTTTTACTATAGCCCTGCAAAGAACACAAGTGTAATATTAATATAATATTTCAAATAAACAGTGACTTGCAGCCCACATCAACTGATATTTAGAAAACTGTTTAGGTCAACTGAGGTGAGCCATCTTCCTCTTGTCTTCCAGGGAAGAGTCCTGTGGACGTTTTCTGCAACACCATAATAGTAACAAGTATAAATGGCTGACATTTTTTTTTTTTTTAAATGAGGAACTCCCTTAGAAGTCAATTGAAATGCTATTTAATAAAAGTTTGATTCCATATAATTAATTTAACACAGACATGAAAAATTACAAATGAATATATTTTGGGCCTGATCTTGCTTCTACTGAAATCAGTGGCAAAACTCCCACTAACTTCAATACAAGGATCTTTAAGGAAAGGCCAAAATACTTTTTACTTGTTAGGAGCAGAAGTTAGGCACTCTGGGTGAAATCCTGGCCCCCATGAAGACAATGGACTTTCCCATTAGCTTCAACAGGGCCAGGTTTTCACTTTGTTTTTCAAACAGCAGTACAGGACGTCTAATCACCTAAACCATGAAATCCTTATACTGCATTAAATTTTTCTGATGTCAACATCCCTTGTAAAAGAAATACAGAACTCAGTCATAAGGTCAGAAAAACGATTTTCAGCTCTTTTGTTTTAAAATATATTTGTCGTTTAACCCTATATTTTATATACGTGTGTGTGTGCGCGCGCACATGCATGTGCTGTTCCGGATCTGGGATCTTAAATGCAATTTTTAAAATATAGGTTCATAATTAAATGCAAACAAAACATTTTAGTGCAACAGTTAGGGTTGAAACATCAAGCACTTGAAAGTCAAGCAATATAAAACATTGCCTGTGTAAAGTTACTTGATATTTAACCTTAACATTGCATTAACAATAGGTTTTTTACATGTGACTTTCTAATTAAAGAAATACAACTCTTGAGTTATTTGGCTTGTGAAGCTGATAATGATCCTGGATTTATAATAATGACTTCTGGGTCACCAGTTCTCTTTGCTGATTAACTCAGCAGACTCTCTGCCCCACTGACTAACAGAACCAACCTTAAAAGACTTTTTTAACTCACTGAACTGCAATTTATTTGGCTTGCAAATCTTGCAAACTTTGCCAGTTCGACTGAGCATCCAACATGCAAAACAGCAGTCATTAAAAATTCAACTTTGGAATTTTTAAAGTGTCAATCAGATCTACGAAGTCAGACAGGTTTGAATTTCTTTTGTCTTGAGGCACTTGAGAGTTTTTCAAGCATAAATATTCTGATCAGAACATGTGGGAAAATGTTTTTTCTATATTCCAGAAACATAAAAAATGGATCAACTTACATAAGTCATACCTTCCAAAACAATTAATTTTTGAACTGAGAGGCAAAACATAGGTAATTCTAGACCAGAAGGACTTTGTTACTCAAATTTGTTGTTAGATTTCAAATAGAACTATATTTACCACAATAATTTATGGACTTAATTCTTCAAGGTGCTGGGCACTCTGGTCTTGATTTTAATTTAAGTATGGGAATAGTCCCAATGAAATCAAGAGGACTACTCATATGTTTAAGTAAGTACTTTGTAGGATGAAGCTCAATATTCTTGGAACTCAGGGGCACAGCAAGAACTCAGCATTCTACAAAAAATTTAACCATCAGTGTGTGTGTGCACATTTGTATGTTTTCTTCCATCCAGATGTCACTTGGGATGTGACAAATAATTTTCCATTCTTCTGAACCTCAAATTCTCATCCTCACATGAAAGCTCTGAAAAGAGAACCTTTCAAAAAAAACAAAAACAAAACAAAAAACGACAAAGAAGCGACAATGCCCGTGACTTACATAAACATTGATATTTAGATAAATGGGTGATTAGTACATTCTTACCAGGTTAAGAGAGTCATGCAGCAGATTTTTGGATCTACAACTCAGACCCTATTTAAATTAGGAACTGTACATCAATAAATTAAAGCATTTCACAAATAACACTTGTGAAACTTAACACACTTTCTTAAATAATTATAAAATAAGATGATACTTAGCTATCTTAAACTTTTAACAATACATAGTACATTTACAATATTTATAAATAAATTATCACAATTACAAACACTGAACTATGTGTGTACAATGCTAATTTAGCCCAAAGACCAAAGAGACATACAGACTTTAAAAGGATTACTGAAACCAATTTAATGTCTTGCAACCGGGTGAAGTCTTAAACTTTTTGTTCTGCAGGAATATATTCCACTGAAGGGCACATCTGCAGTAAGCATCACTATGTCAAAGTACAAAAGACTGGATGCATCAGATTAAATAAATTACTTTTTCGATGTCTTCATTAGCTAATTTTGTTTTTAGAAGGAAAGTTACAGAATGTATTGTTGAAATACTTAATGTAAATAAGGAGTTGTTTTCCTTTCCAAAAAGAGTTTTTTTCCACTTAATCCTCTCAAGAAATTGTTTAAAACTAGATAGAAGAAGTGGATTTTAATGACGAGAAAATAAATACACTTGATTCCTTTGGAATAAATTACTAAGTTGGGTCTGAAAAGCAAAAATGTTATGATGTCAGCACCAAATCTTATTATTTGAAGTTGAAGTCTCCCTCCACAGGTAAGAGAAAGGTGTACCGTCCAGTGAGAGAAAGAAATAATAATAGTATGAAAGTGCACTGTGCAACAAACTGTAAGAAAGACTGAAGAATGTGAACATGCCCTTTAGGCATCAACTTTAAAGCTGATGTGTCTTTACTAGAAAAGAGATCTGTTACTGACAAGGGTTTTCAGAAGGGAGTCCTCCTGGACCAGTGTGGACAAAGGTGTAACTGTGTGCACAGATGGAACCATTTTCAACACCATTACAGGATATCAGGATTATTCAATCACACAACTAAAAGTCTGCACAGAAAATGTGTTAGAATTATTTGAAAGTGTAATGCATTCTGTCACTGTGCTAAAAGTGGCCCATTTATACTCTCAGTTACACACCAAACATGCCCAACAATTCTTGTCAGCAATGGATTCATTTGTAGAGTAGACAGGACTACAGAGAAGTGAAAAAATAAACCCCAGTTATTTACATACCATATTAGCAACTAAAATGGCCAATTCTTCAGATTAATTTTTTTTAAACAGATCTATTGCTTTATTTTGAAAATCTAGTCCAGATAACTTGATAAAGTTTTGTACTTCCAATTTGAGACGTTATAGGTCTAATCCTGCTAACTCTTACTCACATAGGTTATCCTTACTGATGTAAGTAGTCCTATTGTTTGCATAATTAGATCATATACTTCTTAGTGGGATCATTTTTTGTAAAAATTAGGAAGTTGAGATTTCTTTGTACACAATGCACTTGGAGAATACAAGAGCAGTTTCTAATCCCAATAACCGAGTGCTAGGTTTGTAGCATAAATGTTTACTTCCAAATCAAGATAGTTGAGAACCTACCCTAATACTGCAATATGGCATAACACATACACTTTTCCAAATACAGACCTATTTAGTAGCTGCCAGATCATCCAGATTACACAGTACATCATAAACTATTTTTAAAAAAATGATTGAAGATTTAAATTCAGGGATATTACCCAAGACCTATTATAATTAAATCAGAACTCTTTCCAAAGACTGGACACACCACCCTCCCCCTCATTGAGAGTATAAAGTAACCAGTGCAAATATCTCAACAACACTTCCCTTCATTTAGATGCCAGGCCAGTGGTTCTAGCCAGCCACCTGCTTCCACTGGCACTAGCAACTGATTTGCTATCTCTTTATTACAGTCTTAAAAACTTGCCAAAATGGTTGGCCAAAATGACATTTTTTCCCTGAAAAAATTAAACAGTAGACATTATTTTCACAATCTTGGGGATGGTGTGAAGGCATGACACGTTCTCAACAAACAAACTTTGGAATCTGGGACACATCTTCCAACCTGCTCTGCATCCAAGTTATTTAAAAAAAAGTTTTCTTTTTTCCCCCCTTTGCACTAAATTCCATCATATAACCTTTCCCTCACTTCCCCCTTTATTCCTGTATTTTGTGTATCTGTAGACAAATCACAGCACTTCAGTAGCTTTTATGAATTATGGTGCTATGTTGGTCCTGCACACAGTCTTGACGTATGAATCATGTAAAATCTCAGAATAATTTTTAAGCCTTACATACAAGGGTGTCCCCATATGACACTGATCCAGCCCAGAGAGTTATCCTTTGACACTTTGCCCTTCCTTTTTCCAAAACTTTCAGGGGATGCCATCTTTCCTTTGGCAACACTGTGAAGGAGGCACTCCCCAGTCATACATGTAGGATAGCCTGAGCTTAACCTCCTCCTTGCAGAGCTTCCCTTCTTTGGCCAAAGTCTGATGCTTCTCTAACATGTCCTCAATGCTCTGCTTGTGAGTGACAATATACTTATTGTTGCAGCCCCGTGACTTGTACTCAGTGTCAAAACGTGGGTCATGCACCCTCTTCACATCAACAGGAGCCAGCCAAGCCCCCAGCGAGACATCTTCACTCTGCCACATGTTGAAATAGTCTTGGCTGAGTCGCAGGTAATGCACCAGGTCTGCAGACAGCACATAGCCACCACCCAGGGCGTAAGGCAGGTAGTAGTCGCATAGGAGCCAAGTGCTCTCTTTCCATTTGCCACCCGACTTCACTCGACCACGGCCAGAAAAGAAGCCCCAGTAGAGACGACGTGGCTCCTTGGCCCTCAGCTCTTCCACGAGTACGTCCAGGCGTACAAAGGTGTCATCATCAGCCTTGAGGACAAAGCGGAAGTCCAAGTGCAGATCAAGCCAGACATACATTGCCAGGACCTTGGTAGTCAGGTTCTCATAGGAATCACGAAGCTCAGGCAGCAACAGCAGGTCTCGGTGACGGCTCTGCTCCAACTCTAAGCTGTGAAGCTCCTCCCCAGCCAGGCTGCCTGTGCCAATCACGAAACGACACCAGATGTCGTCCTGAGGGGGCCGGCCAGCCATCGAGAGCCAGGTGCTGCGGATGATGCTGCGGCGCTCTGTATACTTGGGGCCGCTGGCGATGAGGACAGCCAGGAAAGCCGTCTCCTCAGGGGGCAGCGGGGCTGCCAGTAGGGGCGGCCCGGCTCCCACTCCACCGCGGGGCGGCTGCAGTGCCTGGTTGTGGGGCAGACCTCGACCTGGCAAGGGCCTGAGGCTCTCTGAGGTGCACTTGGCCAGGTAGAGCAGGACTACAGCGAAGAGCGCCAGGCCACCGAGGCCCAGCGCTGTCTTGTGGCGACACAGGAGCCGCAGCAGCTTCATCGTGGCAGGGAGAGACACCGACGCCTCCTCGGAGGCCGAGGCGAGAACCAGGCCCAAGGCTGCTATGGGCACCCCCTTCTAGAGCAGCACCAGGCCAGGCCCAGCCCTCACACCTCCCTCCTCCCGAGCGAGCAGGGCAAACCTCGGCCCCCACAATGGCTTCTGCCCCTCAGCCACAGGCCCCACCCTCAGCACCTTGCACGGCCCTGAGGATTAGGCAGGAATCGCAGCAGTCCTGCCCCCTTCCCGCAGAATGTCCTGGATGGAGTCTGGGACGGGTAGCAGGCTGGGAGACTCTTCCTCTCCGAGCACAGTGAGGGCGCCACAAGTCCCCTCAGCGGCGGCTTCATGCCCTGGTCCCTCCACCTCTTTCTCTTCGCTCACGGAGCCGTGCCAGCAGCTCCCTCGCTGCCGAGTCAGCGTGAGCAGCACCCGCTGCGGGGCCGCCTGCCCCTGTGCCAGGGGAGAGACTCGGACGGGGGAGAGGCTGAGGCTCGCACCTAGGGTGACCAGATGCAAGAATTAAAATATCGGGACACATGTGGGGGGGGAAGATGGGCAACACGTGGACCCCCCCACACTCTCCCCCCCAGACTGGAACCCCCAAGCCCTCCCTCTCCCCCCCCAGACTGAAACCCCAAGCCCCCCCCCAGGCTGAAACCCCTCTCTATTCCCCCCCATCTGGAATCCCGAGCCCCCCTCCCCCCGCAGCTGGAACCCCGAGCTGCCCTCTCTCTCTCCCCCACCCCGCGGCTGGAACCCCCGAGGCCCCCCCTGCGGCTGGAACACCTCTCTATTCCCCCCCCCGAGCCCCCCCCTCTCTCTCCCCCCCACGGCTGGAACCCTAAGCCCCCCTCTCCTCCCCCAAGCTGAAACCCCTCTCTATTCCCCCCCCGTGCCTAGAACCCCGAGCCCCTCTCCCCCCGCAGCTGGAACCCCGAGCCGCCCTCTCTCTCTCTCTCTCTGCCCCCCGCCCCGTGGCTGGAACCCCGAGGCCCCCCAGGCTGAAACACCTCTCTATTCCCCCCCAAACCCCAAGCCCCCCCCTCTCCCCTCCCCCCCCGCCCCGCGGCTGGAACCCCTGAGCCCCCCCCCCCCCGCGGCTGGAACCCCGAGGCCCCCCAGGCCGAAACCCCCAAGTCCCCCCTCTCCTCCCCCAGGCTGAAACCCCTCTCTATTCCCCCCCGCGACTGGAACCCCGAGCCCCCCTCTCTGTGTCTCTCCCCCCCGCCCCGCGGCTGGAACCCCCGAGGCCCCCCTCTCTGTGTCTCTCTCCCCCCGCCCCGCGACTGGAACCCCGAGCCCCCCTCTCTGTGTCTCTCTCCCCCCCCGCCCCGCAGCTGGAACCCCGAGCCGCCCTCTCTCTCTCTCTCTGCCCCCCGCCCCGTGGCTGGAACCCCGAGGCCCCCCAGGCTGAAACACCTCTCTATTCCCCCCCAACCCCAAGCCCCCCCTCTCTCCCCCCCCCGCCCCGCGGCTGGAACCCCTGAGCCCCCCTCTCCCCCCCGCGGCTGGAACCCCGAGGCCCCCCAGGCCGAAACCCCCAAGTCCCCCCTCTCCTCCCCCAGGCTGAAACCCCCTCTCTATTTCCCCCGCGACTGGAACCCCGAGCCCCCCCCCGCCCCGCGGCTGGAACCCCGAGGCCCCCTCTCTGTGTCTCTCTCCCCCCGCCCCGCGGCTGGAACCCCGAGCCCCCTCTCTGTGCCTCTCTCCCCCCGCCCCGCGGCTGGAACCCCGAGCCCCCCTCTCTGTGTCTCTCTCCCCCCCGCCCCGCGGCTGGAACCCCGAGCCCCCCTCTCTGTGCCTCTCTCCCCCCCGCCCCGCGGCTGGAACCCCGAGCCCCCCTCTCTGTGCCTCTCTCCCCCCCGCCCCGCGGCTGGAACCCCGAGCCCCCCTCTCTGTGCCTCTCTCCCCCCCGCCCCGCGGCTGGAACCCCGAGGCCCCCCTCTCTTCCCCCCTCCCGGCTCGAACCCCGAGGCCCCCCTCTCCCCGCGCAGCCCCAGCACCACGGGTCGGGGGCGCACGGCCCCGGCTCCGGCCCCCGCTGCAAGGCTGGGGCTCCGGGCTGGGGTAAGGGGGGGTTGGGGCGCGGGAGGAAGCGCGGGCTCCGGGGCCGGGCGGCACTTACCTCGCGCGGCGCCCCCAGAAGCGGCGGGGGTCCCCCTCTGGGTCCTAGGCAGAGGACAGGCCAGGTGGCTCTGCGCGCCGCAGCGACTTCCGCCCGCAGGCCCCGCCCCCGCAGCTCCCATTGGCCGCAGTTCCCCACCAATGGGAGCTGCGGAGCCGGCGCGGGTGGCGGGGGCAGCGCGGGGAGATGTCCCCGCTTCTGGGGAGGGAGCCCCCTAGCCCGCCCGTGTAAAAACTCCGAGACTCGGGCGCCCGGGGTTCTCTTGTGGGAAGGCGGTGGAGGGTGGGCAGCTGGGGGCTGACATGGGGCCTTTGGACACCGGTTACTCTGAACGCCAAGGCCCAGAGCCTCAAAGGTATTGAGGTGCCTAACTCCCCTTCCCATAGAAATCAGTGGGAATTAGGCACCTTAGTACCCATGTGAAGTAATTTAGAAACGGTCAGCTGGGGCTTCCCAGTCAGGGGTTGCATTGGAATGCTTTCTGATGGAATAGCAGTTTATTTGGAGACTTCCATGTTGTACTTTGGAAACTAAACTTAAAAAAAAAAGAAAAAGAAAAATTAACTCTCTTGCCCGTAGGCTGGCAAAGATAACCTGCACATTGTGAACTAAGCATGACACAGCGATGTCTGCCTGAGTCGGCACACACCCTTCTACAATCACTCTGAGAGGTGAGGTGACCAAGGCCTGGAGAAGGGCGCTAAGGTACTGATTTGATAGAAAAGTTGCCACCCTCTTGCAAAACAAAAACTGGCTTATATTATATTTGTGATCTATTGAGATTCCCCATCTATTGAAAATTAGCATTAGTAGTAAACAATTATTTGCATTATGATAGCCCCCAAGTCCCCACTTGGGATTGAGGTCCGATTGCCTCTTATATATGTACAGTGCAATCAGGACTTACATCTGACAGAAACAGAGCAGACAAGAGGTAGAGGGTAGGGATATGGCAGAGAAGTAAATGAATATGAGGATGAAATGGAAGGGTTTTGTAAATTACACTTTGCTGTTGTATTTGTTGTTACTTTGGGGTAGAGGAAGGATGAGGAGCAGTAGGAACTGGGAAGTTAGGAAGAAGAAGGGGAGCTGGGCAATTCCATTTCTTAATATTTCTATTTTATATTATCATGTATGAATGCATCTGATGAAATGAGCTGTAGCTCACGAAAGCTTATGCTCAAATAAATTTGTTAGGTCTATAACGTGCCACAAGTCCTCCTGTTCTTTCAGCTTGACCAGTGTCACCTGGTAGCTGCATAGAGGGTCCTCTGGCCCCAATCAAAGATGGTTGCCAACGGTATTCAGATAACATTTGCTTCTCTGCCCCAAACAAAGATGGCCGCCCAGATCCACGCAAAGGAATAGCGACTATAGGGCTCCCTGCCCCAAACAAAGATGGCCGCCCTCAGCCACGCAAAGGAATAGCGACTATAGGGCTCCCTGCCCCAAACAAAGATGGCCGCCCACAGCCACGCAAAGGAATAGCGACTATACGGCTCCCTGCCCTAAACAAAGATGGCCGCCCACTACGGGAGCGCCTTCCCTCCCCTAATCCAAGATGGTCGCTCACTCCCCGGGCCCTTTTTCAAAGGTGGCCTTGGCGGTGCCTGCTTTGCACTCGCTCTTTCGTGGCACTGCTCGGGTGTCCGTTCCTCTCAGGAGCGCGACGTCTCCGTGTGTGTAGCCCCCGGACCGCGGCCCCGCGCTGTGGCTCCTTCCATCCATCCATCCACTCAGGCGGGATGGGACGCCCCGGGGTCCTTGCCTTAGTGTTGAGTGGCGCTTCCGGCTTCCTGTCCCCCACTCAGCTATCGCTGCCTGAGGGGGTTTCGGCGGAGGGTCGCGCCGGGGAGCGGAACCGAGGGGCCCGGGCCGGGGTGGGCATGAGGAGCCTGGCCGCTTCCCGCACAGGTACCGGCGTTGGCGTGGGCTGCCTGCCGCGGAGCCCCCCCCCCCCCCGCGCTTGCGACGGGTTGGGCGAAGGAGAGGGGCTGGGAGCTCTGAGGGGCTGGGGGGAGGAAGGGAGCTGAGTGTCTCTGTACCCACCTGGGGGGGGGGAAAGGGGCCTACACGGCGGGGGGGCTGCGCTAGGACCTTGAGACAGAGGGTGGATGGATTCTTGGGGTCTGGAGATGGCCGTGTGGGTCAGGGGGGCAACGCTGGGACCTGGAGGTGTCAGGGGCTCCTTTCCCCCCCCCCCTTGTCGCTCGACGACCCTCGTCCGTTCCCTTCAGCTCCCTTTCCCCCAGTGTCTCTTCTGCCCCTAGTTGTGTGTTCGTGCACGTGGCCCTTACTCCGGGGGGGGGGGATTCTGCGCCCCCAAAATGGCACATTCTGTGCACAGTATTTTAAAATCTGTCTCTTTTATTTGTCAAAATGACCCTATAGAATCATGCCGGATTCAATTGTTTTGGTAATTTATTTCAAAATACCTGTAACAATGCCGAAGACAACATTCCCCTAGGAGGAGAGAGTTAAAGAAACCCCTGCGCCAGCCCAGTTCTTGTTGCTGTGCCCCCTCTCCCCCAGATCCCAGCTTGGGGGGGGGGCAAACACCCACACCCCCTCCCCAGTGCTTCATTTGTAATGAAAGAGGTGCCGGGGCTCAAACAATTTTTTTTACTTTCATAACTGATGCAGCAAGCCCAGAGGTGCCGGGGCTATGAACTGTGGAGCCTAGAGATGCCAGGACTCAGCCCTGGCACAAATTAAATACAACCCAGCTGAGAGGTGCCCCCTACCCCCAGAGCCCAGCTGCGTGCCCTGACTCCACTCAGGGATACAGATGGAGAAACTGCCTGACACTGGATCCGAGGCTTGAGTTTCCTGCACATGGCTTCCTTCCTTCAGGGAATGCCTGGATCCCTCCAGCTTCCCCTTCCTCCAGCAATGTCGGCTGTTTGCCAGCTGGGATCTGCTGGGTCCAGCAGCCCCTAGTGGTGGCCAGTAGCTATGCAGTGCCAATTCTGCAGGTGAAGAAGGAAATTTTGCACAGAGCACTGATCTTTGTGCAAATTCTGCACTGTACAGTACTGCAGAATTCCCTCAGGAGTAAGTGACTGTATACAGTGTGTACAGTCTGTGCATGCTGACAGCTTTTCCTCAAGTTGTTGCTGTATAATTGAGCTATTGGGTGGGATGGGGCAGGTGAAGGTTCAATAACAGAGTTTGGTAGAAAGTGGGGTTAGCCTGCAAAACGGGAAACTCGAAATGGACTTGTTCAATTCAACTTTGTAAAAATGGTCATGAAACTGTATCAGCCCTAACAGAATTTGCTTAAATTTACCATGATGATGGGATTCTGGTAGCTTGATTTTTATTTTTTTTTTTAATTGACTAAAAAAATAGAGTGCCATCTAAACAGCTTTCCCTTAGTTAAAAACAAAATAATTAAACCTTCTCTCGCCCCCCCCCCCCATGTTTAGAAAGATCTTTTGGCTGGGCCTGAGAGTAATAATAATAAATGTTATTGGTCTCTTGTTCCTCTCCTTCTTGATGCATAGCTAGCTATTCGCTTTCAATTTCGGCTTCCTTGCATAATTAGTGTAAACACTCTTGCAGTGGCTGGATAATGGCATCCACTGTCAACAAATAGTGACACTCACTACACACAAAGTTATGTCAAATGCACGAACAAATTAGAGAAAATATTTTCTTTTTTCAATCTCTTGCAGTTACAGTAATTTTAGGGATTATTGGTAACAATAGTAGATACAAAATTTTCAGATGGAAAAGTGATGCTTGAAATTGATATTATTGTCCTTGTATAATGGTGATGGTGGGGATTTTCTCACATGTCAAAATAATAGTTCTGTCCAGGTAGGTGTGCAAACAGAAATTTACAAGGTTGATTTTAATTGGGTAGTTCAGCGAGGAAGGAAAAATGTCCTCTTCTAATCTTAAATGTGATCGTATTAAGTTCTGAAACATTATGGTTGATATTCCTCAAACCTCTGAGCAAATGTCCTAAGCTTGTCTGTTGTAATTATCCAGGTAGATATCTATATTCTTCTTAAATCTTCCCTCAGTAGCGAATAGCGCAGGTTTAGTAGGTGCTGTATAGTGTTTCTCCACTGTTTATCCCTTAAAATTTTTTTTTAAATTATTACATCATATTTGCTGAAACTTGTAATACTTTTATGACTCTACCAGGATTCTGTCAGAAACTTACTTCTGTAATTGGCTATATCTCCTTTTACCAGGATGTTCTAGTAAATTCACTTTTGGTAATCACTTTATCCCTTGAGATTTAAAATGTTGTTTTAGTCTGAAAAATTATTTAAAAAACAAACAAAAAAAAGCATTGTGATGTTCCATGTTCATTTCTCACTGATTCCACATCAGATTTGCTCAGTTCTAAGTAAAGATTCTTTCCTACCTGCCAGCCCTAGAAACATTTCTTGGGAACTTGGTCATGCGCTGCTCACAAAAAGTCTTGAAACAGTCTGTTGTTGGCACACACTCTAGGTTAGAATCAGCTCTCTCTCTTAGAGGTGAACTGGATTTGGAGTGCTCACTGAAATAAAGTTAGTAAAAGGAGTAAAAACTTAATTCAGGTCCTGATTCACTGGACAAGTATTTGTAAAAATACTTCTGATTGTCAGAAGCTGGGAGTGGATGACCGGGAATGGATCACTTGATGATTGCTTGTTCTGTTCATTCCCTCTGAAGTACCAGGCATCTGCCACTGTTGGAAGACTGGACACTGGACCCATTGGTCTGACCCAATGGTCAGAGCCTTCTTATGTACGTATATGTGTGTTTGCAAGATTGGGGCCTTAGGTCCTAGTTCTTCAGTGAGTTTTATGACCACGCAATGCCATAATCAACCACAAGTGATACTCTGTGCAGGCACAAGCATCTGCCTACATCAGGGGTTGGCATACATTTTGGCCTGAGGGCCACATGTGGGAATAGAAATTGTATGGCAGGCTATGAATGCTCAAAAAAATAGGGTTTGGAGTGTGGGAGGGGGTGAGGTCTCTGGTTAGGGGTGCGTGCTCCAGAGTGCAGACAGAAATGAGTTCAGGGTGCTGGAGGGGGCTCCGGGCGGAGGAGTGGAGTGGGGGGGGGTGAGGGCTCCGACTGGGGGTGCAAGCTCTGGGGTGGGGCTGGGGATGAGGAGTTTGGGGTGTAGGAAGGTGCTCCAGGCTGGGACTGAGTGCCTCGGAGGGCAGGAGGGGGATCAGGGCTGGGGCAGGGGTTGGGGTGCAGGAAGCCATAGGAGCTGGAGGGGGCATGGCGCTGCTCCCCAGCAGGAGCTTGAGGGCCGGATTAAAACGGCCGGATCCGACCCGTGGGCCGTAGTTTGCCCGTTCCTGGCCTACATGGTGCCCAAAGCAGGATGGGGGGGTCTTAGCAGCAAGCTGATGTGATTCTGACTCCATAAAGGGATGAGTTCTGTTAAATTAGACACTTCTCAGAGCAAAGCCCCATGTTAGAAAGAACTGTTTTCTCTGTTGGTTGTGGAATGTAGCTTCATATGTCTCAGACTTGCCTGATGTATGCTAGAATTATGCCGGTAATGTAACATTTTGCCTCAGCCTTTGTCATCTGATCTGTACATGTGCTCTTCTGAAACAGACATACATTGAACTTCTCCACATTCCCTATCATCAGATTTTACCCCCCTCCCTTTTTTTCTTTTGGTAGCTGGAACTGCTTTTGCAACTGCACTACACTTTTTTGCAAAACCTGTTTCTTACTCTAGTTACTTGTACAACATTCGTTTATTCTAATTGCAAAACAGGCTTCTGTCATTTAAGATAAGCTTTTAATGTTGACCAACAGAATATGCTGGATTTTTACATTTAGATTTGGAGCTTAAAATAAAATTGTAGCTTTACAATTTTAGGTTCCTTATTTCTGCTTTTTTTTCCCCCCTACTTTCAGGTCATTTAATCTCTCTTTCACCATAAATTAATTTGTTAATATTTTGGACAAGAACAACAACAATGATGTCAAAACAAGCCTTCCTCTGCAGTTTGGGCTCTCTCTATTTGTCCCTCCTGTTTGTGTTCCTGCTGATGGATGTCTATGCCAGGCCTGCAAATAATTCTGTCTTAAAAGAGAAAGCGGTTGACAGCAAAGATGATAATGAGATCCTGCCCCCAGACCACCTGAATGGGGTCAAAATGGAGATGGATGGACATCTTAACAAGGAGTTTCATCAAGAGGTTTTTCTAGGAAAGGAGATGGAAGAGTTTGATGAAGATTCTGAACCAAGAAGGAACAGAAGGAAGCTTATGGCCATATTTTCAAAGTAAGTTATGTTATAGTGTATCAAGAAAAATATGCAACCAATCCCGCTGCATTTATATTTTTCTCTACTTCCTCTATGTTCAGTTAATTAAACTTCTTTGAAAAACAAGCTTGAAAGATTTTTTTGAAGGATGATTACAATGAGAGGAATGAGCAACCTTGCGTAAAGCATTACATTTATGTTAGTAAAGTATTCAACTAACTTAGGCCCTGACCCTTTAAACTAATCAGTGGGGCTTAATATGTGCGGTTCTCCCCACCTCCAGTGCCCATGCAGAACCACTTTAATCAGCTTTTAGGATTGGGGCCTTAGGTTGTTGTTAAAATCCACCACAGAAAATGAAATTCCCACGTGAAAAAAATTAATGTTAAGTAACTTCTTGGATTACTAAAATTGAAAGATTTTAGGAGGTTTTTCCCCCCTCCCAGCTTGTTTACTTTTTGGATTTTGAGTGCTTTGGGTATAGTCAGGCTCATTTTCTAGTCTCATGCATTAGTGTCGTAGAATTTTCCAAAGGATAGGGCACTGCACTGTGAATTGGAAAACATGGGTTCTATTCTATGCTCTGCCACTGGACCTGCACTGTGACCTTGGGGAAGTCACTTCATTTCTCTGTTACTCTGTTTTAATCGATGAGTAAGTATATGTTGTTTAGAGGTGCTGTTGGGCCTGGGTTTACTTCCCTTCTGGTATGATCCACAGAAATACTATCAGGGGAAAAGAAAATATTCTGGAGAGAATCAGGACTAAAGAAAAAAGACAAACTCAGCAAAAAGCTCACTTTCCCATAGCACGTATAGTCCCTTTTTGTTCAAAAGCCCCTTGAAGTTGATACTATGTCTGACTTTTTTTCCCTTGTATTTTATATGTTTAAATGATTAAATAACTCCTGTAACCTTCGTATCTTGGTCCATCCCAAGTATTTATAAACTGAAATAATTTCTCTCCCTTTCTTCATTCTTCGTGAGTTCCTGAAGAGCTTACAAAATTCTGTTACTGCTGCAGTTAAACATATGTAGACAACTCCCCAGAGCTTAGAAAGGGAAGTATAATGAAAGATAAGGTATAATATTTAAATTATGACACCATGCTAAACATCATTACTTGAAGGTCCTCAGACTAGATGGGCTTTTATTCTAATGTAACAAAAAAAAAATCCTATTTTAAGCATAAAAATGTGCCCACTTCTTGTATTTGTTTATAAAGCTCCTTTCGTTCTATTAGGAGTGGCTTAAATCAATAACTAGATAAATTCCTATTTTAGCAGACATGGAAATCAGTGCAGTAAAGTGCACTTGTGTAAGTTTTAAGACTAGAACATATGAAGAATAAAACCACAGTGAATTGTCACTACCACTAGATGGCAGAGTTGCTTCTCTTTGTGTTTTGTGACCGTGGATTTATTTGTTATAACAGTGTGGACTGAGTTGGTACTTCTAATATTTGTAGGTAATTCTGGTGGCAGTAAAAAAAAGATCTTGAATATGTGAAGTTTTTTCATTTTGTTTAATTGTGCTGGAATTGGCAGGGAGGCTTTGAAATAAATTTTTATTGGAACAGTTTGTAATTGAGTATCTGGCAATGATGGAGGTGACTATGCATTTGCAATTTTGAAGACTGCTGATTTCCCGAGATATTTCTGTTTATCACCATGCAGCAGTTCTATTCTTTAGCCACTGCAACACTTGGAAAACAGGGTGTTGCTTCTTCAGTAGGTGCTGTCAATGCAACTCCATTGAGGGTGGTTGTTTTTTTTTTTTTTTTTTTTAAGGTCCTCATTTAGCATTCAGTTCTCCCTGCCAAACAAAGCAATCTGCTCCATGAAATGTCTGATTTGCAATTCCTGGGAGCAGGATAGTTCTGTGGTATGCTGTAATGACACCACCCCTCTCATTAGAGCTCTGCGTAGATACAAAATTTGTATCCGCATCCAATCTGCAAAAATGGTCTGCGGATATCTGCCTCAACGGATATAAAGCAAATATCCATGGATTTACAGGACTCAAAATGCATTTCTTGTAATGATAATTAGTAATAGTTAATATTACACCTTTAAAATGCTGTATCACTAACTAAACTTTAGTTATCACAGCACTCCTATGAGATGGTCACTTATTGTTCTACTTTTAAACCTGGGACGAACTGAGGCACAGATGTTAAGAGGATTGCTCAAGGCTAAAGAGAGTTTGTGTCAGACTGGGGAGTTCCTGGCAACTAATGAAAAGGAGTACTCGTGGCACCTTAGAGACTAACAAATTTATTTGAGCATAAGCTTTTGTGAGCTACAGCTCACTTCATCGGATGGTTTGCTTGGATCATAGCTCTTTTTCATGGTAGACTGGAACCTTGCAAAACTTTTTGTCTCTTTAGCCAGTGCAACAAACCCAGCTCTGAAAACATAACTTACTAATGAAAAACACTGCTGTATCTGTGCTGTATTCTCAACAGCAGATGTCTGAAAGGGTTAACACAAAGCTTATTTTTCAAATGCTAACCAATTTGTATACTTATCCTGGCTTACCCTTCTACACTTAAACTAAAATCATTTATTGCTAATCTGCTGTTCAACCAATCACTCCACTGACAGTTTTACAAATTAAGGATTTATTGTTAAGCCTGTATCAAATAAACATCTGGCAATAACGAAACTGAAAGCTGATTAGCAGATTCAGATGTTGATTAGTGACTTTTGCAAATCACAAATTGCAGTCTCCCTTTGCTTTTATCTATTTGTTGCAATGGAGGCTGCCTTGGTAGGTCAAAAGCAGTTTGGCCACCTCTGTCCTGACCTTAGAAATGATTATCGACCTAATTCAAGTGCTTTTCCACATTGTGTTCCCTCGGTGAGATCAGATTAGAAGGTTTGCCAAATTCTTTAGGGAATTAAGCTTGTTTTCCAGATGTACTCCTAAAGATTGAGTTGAAAGATAAAAATGACCTTCCTTTCACCAGGGGTAAGGAGTCTTTGGGAAAAGGAAAATGCCTCTCTTAAAGACTTTTTAAAAAAAATTACTTTTCTTTTTTAATGAGCAGCAGCTAAAGTTCCTGGATCTATTTATATGCCACTTGGAATGGTACCCTCAAAGTATGTAGCATGTTGTCTAATGGGGTGATTAAGGAACAAGGTGAGACACTATACCTTTTCCAAAAAAGGAATAGTAACTCAGAGGTAGAGTTTTTATCCTATCCACATTCTTCTAGATAAATTAGTATCTATTGGATCTTTTAGGATCTTATCAAAACAGGCATGTTTTCAAATCTAAAGCCTGAGACAGAAATTTGAAACTCTGAGATGAGTGGGTAAAAGCAGCAGTTGCTGTATGAGGGAGTAATCTTGTATAGGTCCAGTTTTACATGAAGATTGAGATTGGAGATGAGACTGTTCCCGGCTCCCCTGCATCTTCCCATGTCTTGTACAATTGGGGGATGCTGTCTTTTTAAATGGATAACTTGACCCAATAGCTAGATATTTAACTGATGCGGTCTTTGAACCAACAATGGGGCTGAAGTGACTAAAGGTCAGGGGACTAGAATTTTTTTTCTATAATTTTGAGCCTGGAATTTTTTATATTTAGCGAAGTACAACTAAAGCCCCTTTAATGGACTAGTGTTCAGAGTAAACTGTGCCCAAAGTAGATCTGTCAGCTGTGTTCTGCAGCTGACTCTTCTTTAAATATATTAAAATAAATGTGTTATTTTCATGTTCTACTTGACTTTTCCCATACCAGAAAATTTGGTTGGCCTTGTCTGTTATTCTCTGGTATCACTCTTATCAGCCAAAGTGTGCTTTGATCAAGTTAATTAGGGACACAGCCATTCTTTCATACGAAATAGTAACTGACATTTTTGTGGTCAGTAATTAATGTTTTTGATCAAATGCAGTTTGTCTTGTGGGGTAAGCCCAATGATGTAATTTGCTGAATATCTAAATGGAACTTAAGGTAACTTTCAGATCTGAAAAATACAAATTTTATAATATGATTAGATTTTGCACATCAACCATCTATAACAAACTAGACCTAAGAAGTAAGAATACATGCCTATGAAATGTCTCACTGTTGTAGCTGTTCCAACAGTCATACGTTATGTAATATTTAAAAATGATGGGGTGAGCTAGACAAAATGTGGTGATAAGTTCTGTGTTCAATGCAGCACAGACAGTTGCAGTCTCATTGCATTTTAACTAGTCCTCTTCTCATATTAGCCTGTACGGTTTTCTAAGGCTGTGCTCCTTGTGATACAGTTTAGGTTTCTTTGAATTATATTCATAAACTTTTTTTTTTCTTTTCAGAGATTTTCGAGAGCCTGGAATAGATAAGATTATGTAATTGAAGAGAGTAAGGTATTTGTCATAACAGTCTTGGCTTCTGTTTCTGAGGCTACTCTCACTTAGCGGAGATAAGATGTCCCGCTAGCACAAAGTCATTCTAAATGTAGTGACTAATATGTATTAAAACCAGACTGTTCCAGTACTTTTGGTGGTGTCACCAGGGGGCGGTGGTGTTTTCTGGGTTTTTTTGGGTGTATGGGGAAGTAAAAAAACCCTGTGAATCTGGTATTAAAGGCTCTTCATTCTCTGTCCAATTACTGAGAGAGAAAGCAGGGAGAGGTACAGCAAACTTCAATTTCTCCCTGTGATAAGAGCAAAGTTATTTCTAATTATCAGGTTCCACAGGGGAATTAACTGAGAGGGTATGATCTTCAAGATTCAGACATACCAGTGGGCTAATTGATTTAAACAGTAACTTGCCTGTTGTAAAGACTTGAGATATTTTCATAAATTCTGAAACCTGGATGTTAAGTAAAGTCTTCTTTTTTTTTTTTATTTTTATTAAACAAACTACTTAATTTTTTTATTCTTGTAATGGAAAAAGCATGCTAAATTGAATTTCTGGGTCAATGCAAAAAACTCCATATTTATCTGTCTCTAAAACCAACGACAGCAAAAAAGTCCTCTGAATTGTTTCCTGGTGGAAGTACAATGGGATAAGGGCTAATTTTGACAAGACATCTGTCATTGAAGTCTTGGCCAAAAATGATCACTTCATGCAGAAATTCCTGCTGCATATCATAAGAACATAAGATTATCATAACATATAAACATATCTGCTTATCTTTTTATCTTTCTGTAAGAAGGTGAGTATCTGGGCACTTGATGGGCCAAGAAGTGTGTTAAGATATTCAGTATTCAATGTGTGGCCATACCATGAATTACCATAGACTAGACTGGATGCCAGAATTCAAACCACAAATCTCAGTTGTAAAGGGTGGGCTTTCTTAGTTTAATTAAATTAAATCTGTTTTGTAGTTTGAATTTTGTAATTCCATTTCAGTAATGTAGTACATGTGGTTTCCTGTCAGGATGTCTTTGTGGTGGTAATCTACCACTGTGCGTGTCTGGAAAGTGAGTATTCACCTTTTTAATTGCTCATATTTTGGTGATATCTCCTACCCCTTATAAGCACACACATTTGGCAATTGAATGCCAGTCCTTGACTAATCATTCATGGGGTCCCTAGCCAGAAAACTTGCATCCTGTTTGCTTCCAGTATGTGTAGGGGTAAGGTTGTTTCCCTCTTTCTCCTGTGAAACTCCTGAGCTCACTCCTTCTTGAGGCTGAGCATGTGGGGTTCGTACAAGCACTGAAAGGGAAGAGGCTGAACTTTAGTGATGCTTGTAAGCTCTCATAGCATTTGAGGTCTATTATTCTTATCGCTCAGAATAGAAGTAGGGGAGTGGTTATGTTGGGGATTGCCAAAACCAATGGAGTGTTCTAATGTAGTAGTTAAAAAGGGCATAATTTGGGGATAATGTTGAAGTACATCTGGTATACCTAATCACAATTTTCATTTATAATGTCATTGCCTATCCTTTTGTGAGGGAAGGCAGATGATGAGATTATAGCCATAGCAGTGGTAGATTTGGACAATTATACTGAAAGTAGAATGACGCTCAGGGGACATGTTAGCTTGCTTGTTGTTATGAAGCTAGACTTTTAGATTTGATGGGTTGTTTAGCTAAAAACCTTACCTACCTTGATAGTTGTCCTATTTGTCATGATCTGTGTATTTTTAAAGTATGCTGCATCTAGAGATTTAAAGAAGTTGTCTAGCAAACTCTTGTATATCACTTTAACTGTAAATAAATGACATTGTTCTCATTATTAAATATTACCTTTTTGAGTCTGGTTTTCATTATCTGTATGCAATGGGAATAGTCTTGTTCTTAAATAAACTGTATTTAGAGCTAATGGAAATTGCTAGTCTGACAATCTTAATATATACAGCAGGAGCAATGCAGTCTTCCCCAAATGGCTATGTCAATGTGCCTGGAAACCTGATGTGGGGAATGGACTCTAGTTATAAGAAGGAAGTTCAGTCATTGACCTGTCTGCTGAGATGTGATGCTTTGTGATGTGGATTCCTGCTGGGCGGAAAATAGGCTGAGATCACCAAGCTCATTTCATGTAGGCCACTGGGTAACTCTCAGTTGGTGGCTGGTTTTTGTTACTTTGGTCAGTACTGTGCTTGATTCACTACAAATAAATTGGATTTCTCTAATAAGCCTTCTCCTATGGAACACCTGTAGTAAGGCCACATTTGTTCCTTTTAACAGAAATACTGTGTTTATCTTTAAAGGCCCGATATAAACATTAATACTAATGTTTCTTAACTATTTTTGCTGTGCATGGACAATGAAATATGGTACATGTGTACTCCCTGACTCTCCCTTATACCTAAACTTATTGCCACCAGTTAAGAGTGCTAACCTTGACTGGGTTTGTTTGCTTATTAAGTGTAATGGTCTTTGTAACAGTTTTTGTGAATTACACTGGATGTCACTAAAGTGCATTCAGACCATGGCACAGTTATCACATATTGCAGCAGCTACCATCTATTTTTGGAAATCTGTAATTTTCTTGTGGAAAAAGCACACAGTTTAGTGAACTATAATGTAATATCATTTGTCTTGTATTTTATGTTGTTGAGAACTCAGGATTATTGTCAGAGGAAGGTGTTTCAGTCTGACTTCTTATTCTGGAATTTCTTGGAGAGATTTCTACAGAATTTATGAAATGCTACATTAATTTTTGCTGTAATATTAATGGTATTTCTTGAAGAACAAGAGGAACCAATGTATTTATCAGAGCTGATGCATGGCAAAGTGTCGAAAGATTATCATCCTGCATCAGGCATTTTCCACCCAGAGACAACTGAGGAATGTCTACGCTGAGTTATGTTTCTTCTGTATATTTTGTTCACTTTACATGGAAGCTTAAATTCTCTTAAGATCATGTAGGCTACAGTTCTGTGGAATATACATTATTTCTGAACTAAGATCTGGGTGTTTTCCCCTTTAGCTGAACACTTTGCTGTCGTCTTCTCAGAGCTCTTAGCAAAACTTTCTCTATTACTTAAATATTCGTGAATTGTAGGCTGTACTAGTATCATTTGTCATCTTTGTTTGTACAGCTTTAGCCCCATGTTACCCAGTAGCTAACCTTTCATTACTATTACTGGGAATCGTTTTCAATAGTCCATTCTAAATAAGATATCTTCACGCACTATTATTTTGATGGTCCATTCTGCCTCTTAGATTATAAGCTCAGAGCAGGGACCATGTCTTGTTCTGTACAGTTGTAAGCGCACTGTTTGCCTAAAAAATATGATGCTTTATAGATGTCAGAAAGAATATGGCCAGCCTTACCACTGGGTGTACCAATTCATTGAATCAATATGTCTGGATGATTCTTGGGAACCACAGTGGTGAAGAAAAGCAATACCATATAGAGAACTGAGGAATGGGTTAATAGATAGAGGCAAATGCAAGAATGCTGCCTTTTTACAATCACTAAATGGACAGTCTTATTTGGGAGCCATTATTAAATTTCTATATTGAATAGAGGTCATGTGCAGTGGCTGTAGGCTTCTGATCTGGTCTAATGCAATTGAGAGGTGTCAAAGTTAAGGATAAACCTTTCTGTTGCCATTTTGTTACTTATTCAGTACCAAAATATCACAAATATCATTACTCGGATAGCTTAACTATAATGTATGTACAAGTGTGATGAACATATTTTACTATTGTCAGCTCTAAATTACTGCTTGCCACAGTGAGTCTGATAGTCCGGGTGTGCATGTACTTACATTGTGAGAAAACAGTACAGTATTTAAAAACTTTAATGTTGCACTTTTTAATACAGATGAACATTTAAAAAAGATCAGATGTTTGGGTTGTTCTAACTGTAACATTTGAGTTGACATTTAAAGGTGGAGGAACGTATTAAATAACCTAAGTGTCAATGATAAAATTTATGAAGTCTTAAGATAGTGATGAAAACAGATAAAAAGATGAAGTAAAGCCTGTGTCTGTATACGCTTCTTAAAATTTTAACATGGGTGGTTTTGGTATACTTTAAATAGGTTCTTAAATGTCAACAAAATGTCTTCTCTGTTTTTGATGCTCACTTACATTTGGATTGTTGATATGTTCAGAAAAGGGACTCTAAAAATGACATTTGGGTGATCGTACTTATTCTCATTTCATGATATATTAAATTTGTGTAACTGAAATATGATTTATTTTAACTGCCAATGGTACAGTCTCATCTGTTCTCTAAAAACTGAGCAAACTTCTTGCTCTTTTATCCATCATTGCCAACAGACTTTACAATTAGCACATATCTTGCAATTTGGTCAATGAGTCTGAATGTAATATAGATTATGGTTCTGCACTTGACCAGTAGTGAACATAAAAATATCTTGTCTTTGTACTAAAAAAGGAAAGCAGATGTGACTGGCGAGACTCACAGGGAGCAGATGTCCATTACCTCAGTTTTAACTTTTGTAAGATCGCTTTTCAGTCAACCATCCTATAAACATGTAGAAACAATGGTCGTCTTCATGGATCAAGGGTTAAAAAATAATTGTTAGAAGACCTTCTGGATATCTTTTAAGGTTACAGCAATAACATTAAAGGAATTGAGAAACCTTTTTAGAGGCTCATGCACCAAGGTTTTTCACTTTATTTTCATTCTCTTAATGACTATAGCTTTTTCTAATAAATGGTTAAGCATAAGGGGCATCTCATCTTCCCAGTAAATGAGGGAGAGTTTATGAATTTAATAATAAAAAAGGAGGGGGAAAGAATGCTAAATCCTGAAAGTCAGCAGGAGACAAGCTTGGAAGTACACTGAATTGAGATATTGCAGTGAACTCGGAGGAAGAAAGGATCTAGAAGGAAGCAAGAAGTAAAAGATGCTGAGACATCTGCACTAGTGAGAGTCTACAATAGCAAGCAAGTTGAAAAATCAGAAACAATTACACTTTAAGTTTAGGAAAGGTAGAGTTAGCGTAGCATGGACCATGCAGTGTACTTCTGTCTGTGATTTCTTTATTAAAAAAAAAAAAAAAACTTTGCAGTTTTTAAAAGCTGGGTAGATGTTGCCAACTTACAGGATAATGAAAGATAATTAAGCACCTTACTTCACTGGGCAGTCCCACGAACATTGTTCTTCACTTGAGAAGAGCAAAAAGGCTGACTGCTGCAACTGAAGGAAAACAGCGTGGCGTACTTAGAACACGATGGCCGTCCTGAACAGTGAAAGAAATAATCTTAAAATGAAAATAACTGATCCTATTAAGGGAGTTTGTCTCATTCTGCCCACTCATCTATTCAGACTTTACATTTAGCCATTTTTAATTTCCCAGGTAACTTTATAGCTGTCTCTGAAATGTTTACTCTTCAGTCAATGGCTCAGTGTTAAATAATATATTACTCAAGTGGTGAGTAATATTTTTTTCTGTAATTAAACTGAACCATCTCACTTCTGTTTTAACTGTCTTCTGTTCTTGTTAGTGGGCAGTGAAGTGACATGTCTAGTGTTTTGGGGTATTTTTGGACTCTTAACTGTTCTCATATCTTCCTCTGCAGGGTAGATATTAATAGGGACAAAAAAATAAGCGCTAAAGAGATGCAGCGTTGGATCATGGAGAAGACAGAAGAGCATTTCCAGGAAGCTGTGGAAGAGAACAAAATGCATTTCCGAGCTGTGGACCCTGATGGTGATGGTAGGAGAACAACATTTATCTTGTGAAATAGTCATTCTAGGGCATCTAAAAACATTATAGCTAGAGGTCAAACTGACTATGGGCTGCACATTTAATTGCTCTGAAGCACTCATCATAGGCCAAATCCTAATCCAGGGGTGGCCAACCTGTGGCTCCAGAGCCAATGTGGCTCTTCAGAGGTTAATATGCGGCTCCTTGTACAGGCACCGACTCCAAGGCTGGAGCTACAGGTGCCAACTTTCCAGTGTGCTTGGGGGTGCACACTGCAGAACCCCTGGCTCTGCCACAGGCCCTTCCCCCACTCCACCCCTTCCTACCCCCTCCCCTGAGCCTGGCGTGCCCTCGCTCTCCCTCCCCCAGCCTCCTGCATGCCATGAAACAGCTGATCGGGAGGGTGGGGGAGGCGCTGATCAGCGGGCTGCTGGTGGGTGGAAGGCTCAGGGCGCGGGATGTGGGGGCTGCTGATGTATTCCTGTGGCTCTTTGGAAATGTACATTGGTAAATTCTGGCTCCTTCTCAGGCTCAGGTTGGCCACCCCTGTCCTAGTCCCTTTGAAGTCCATGAGACCAGTTTCATCTTTACATTTGTATCATTCACTGGGGAGGACAATAGAGGATTTTTCTTCTCTGAAGACTTGACTGCACTAGGAGAAACTTTCTTAATATTTTCCATGATTGCTATCTCTGGTTCAGCTTTACCAACATTAGTAATATTGGGAGCTCTCATTTGCTCCCACAGTCACTTTTAACGTCATGTATATCATGTAACCTTGCTCAGGGCAGGTCTAATTGACTCTATTTAAAAATGCATATCAGTATTGGGGCTTCCAACATTACTAATGCTGGCTGAGATGTGCTGGTGTTGGCAACGGTCGGAAATTTAAAAAAAAAAAAAAAAAAAATCCCCAGGGTTATCAGGGCCTTAGAGTTGGTGTTTTATTGACTTTGCTTTCTTTCAAGAGAGCAGATTCAATGATAACAAGGTAAGGCAAAAGCAGTATAGTTAACCAGATAAACGTAGCTATTAGATCTTTGATCACTCTTTGGGAAGCTACTTAGTTTATAATAGAAAAGACTTAAAAGGAACTTAAAAGAAAATTAAAATGGTTGTCACTGAGTCAGATTGAATCCTTAGGCAGTCCTACCCATTAAAAATAACGTAGGGACCAAATTCTGCCCTTGGTGATGCGTTTGAGCTCTCATTGACCTCCAAAGACATAATTTTGACCCTTAGAATGGACAACCATAGGAATATTTCAGGCTTTACCTTTGTGGAAAGGAACCCTAGTCCACTTTGAGGAGGATTGGTTGAGAGGTATTTTTGCCATATCACTGCTCCCAATGAAATTTACAAGTGTTGGGTGGTTATGAGTAAATGTGAATGGATGTGGTTCTTACAGATTGCAGATGCGTAAAGGGTTTTAATAGATGATTTCAAAAGAAACAAGACCAGAAGCTTGGATTTTAAAATGTTAGACTATTTTTGATGTCTGAGATATGTCTCTGTCTTACAGGCCATGTGTCTTGGGACGAGTATAAAATAAAGTTTTTGGCAAGCAAGGGCTTTAATGAAAAAGAGATTGCAGAGAAGATGAAAAACAATGAAGAGCTAAAAATTGATGAAGAAAGTAAGTATTTTCAGTTGCTGATACCAGCATATTTTGCTAAGAAAAGCATTGTACTGCTCCAGTTCTTTGACGAGCAGTAAATTGGCTGAACTGGCAGCTTGGAAATCAAGACTCAGTACAGGACTACTGTTCCAGCTGTAAGACTGCATCTGCTTTGGCTTTGAAAGGAGACAGAGGTGAAATGCCACAGAAGCTGCTACCAAGAATGAAGAGAGGAAAGGAGCTGAACATTAAACACCACCTTGCATGATCAGGTCCTTGAGAGCCCTCTAATCCTACAAAGATTGGGCCCTACATTTTTAGGATCACTAGATTTCAGTTTTGCAATTTTCACCTTTTTAGCTGTGATTTATAAACTGGGAAATTCACTTCTCAATAGAATGGCTGGGGGGTGAGGTGGGGGGTGGGGTGGGGGGGAAGGCAGAATAAATTGGTTATTGTGCCCAATGTATTCTACAGCAAGTGCAGATTAGCCCAGGTCATTGTTTACTTTGAGAAGTAGGAATGGTCGTGTGAAAAAAGAAATACAGCATAGCCCCATTTATCCAGTCTAATGGGGACTGGGACCAGATTGGATAATCTGGAGAATGGGAACATGCAACACTGCAGCACCATCTAGCAGCCACAGGAGAGAGTGCCTGCTTCTGGACCTCTGCGAGAGCTGGATAATGGAGGGTTGGATAAATGGAGTTCTACTGTGAATTCTTTTTCTCTATCCTGGGCTGGGTTGTGTGCTGGGTTGGTACAATAGCTTTTTGTTTCTGAAGACTTAAGGTCAAATTCTTTGTCCAAAGTGAAGGTGGGTTAGGCAGTCTCAACTTTGTCCTCGTTCATCCAGTGTGCCCTGTGATGCTGGCAAACCAGGGGCCAGCTCTTACCAAGTCTATAGGTGTCAGCTGAGTACTGACAAATTCATAGCTGGAAACCAGACCAGATCATCTATATGTTTCTGCGTACCCACCTCCCTACCCCTTGACTCAACATATTCAATAGCAATTTCTGCAGCCTCCATAATTGTGGAAGGTTGTAACTACCCATAACAACTGCTCCTGTACCATCAGATGAGTTTTTCATAGCCCCTGATCCTATTATCAATTTTTCATAAAATTACACATTTTATGCACATATTCAACATGAGTGATACTGTCAAACATTTTAAGATTCCTATACTTCAAATTGATAGGACTCAGATGTAATCTTAAACCTTTTCAATATATTTTCTTTAAATTTCTTATACATCTTAGCATCACCCTCCTCTGTATCATTAAAAACTCGTCTTGCCTCCCCAGTTATTCTGGTCAAGAGGATTGGTATCTACTTATCCTTTGGAATCTTGTGGATACCATACAGTCGCTCAGAGATGGACAGGAACTCCTCTGTACAGTCAGTCTCTTGATAAATTGGGCAGGCTTTCTCCCTGTGTGGAGGTATACTCACTCGCTGGGGATGCTGCTTTTGCTGCTCCAGTTCTTTGAGCTGCAGTGTGTGAGCTTCCATCTGTTTCAGGTGTGCTCTCTCCTCAGCTTCTAGTTCCATGCATCTTTCGTGAGCTTCCTCCTCCACCTCCTGGGTTTCCGTCTTCTCCTTGATCTGCAATTCCACCATCAGTCTCTGGTGCTCACGTTCTTCCTGGGTTGCCCGGAGCTTCAGCCGTACCAGTCAGTGGCTCTGGCATCTGGGGCAGAAGGTACTCGTGCCCCACCTCTATTCCTTTCCCTGCTGCCTAGTCAAAATGTATGCACAAAGCTCTCAGTTGCTGATTTGAAGCTATCCTTTCAGGACTTTCCAAGGGGGGTAGGGGCAAATCCCAAGGGAAGGGAAATCCCCCTGTCCCCCAGGTTAAGAGGGGGGGGGGGGAGGAGGAGTCTAGAAATAAACCTAACCCCAACTTTAATTAAAAAAAAAAAACAAAAAAACCTCAAGGGAGGCCAGATTTTAAAGCCCCTTACCCAAAGGCAAGGCAGGTAGTCTGCTACACTGCTTGGCTCCCAGTGTGATGAAGTTAGGCTGGACAGTTATAAAGAGAGTGGTGTTTTCTTTTTTTTTTGTCCCAGCCAAATCAGGTTTTTATTGTATACCTGCCACATTCAACTACAAAGACCAGAACAAGTCCAGAACGTCAAAGCTCAGGGCTACCACCCGTACAGATGAGACCTTCATTTTTAAGACCGAAAACTCTTGGAGATGGCTAGGAAAGCACTCCTATCACCAACACACTCCATGGAAGGCAGGTATACTAGTTCTAGATTGATAAAAGCCCTTTTCCCTATAAGCTGAAAAGGGGTTACCTCTGGTCAACTAGGGACATATGAATCCAGTTAAGGGCTGCCTGAGACCTTTTAAAAACCACTTCTCTTGTGAGAGAGGAGGAGAGGCAAGCTGCTGAAGGGCTAGTGGGAGTAGGGAGAAAGACTTCTCTAGGGTAGGAGGCTGCACTCCTTCCTACATGGAAAGCTACCTAACTGCCTGTTTAGGGGAAGGACCGGCACCTTGGGGCCAATAACAAGGCTACCCCACCCCCAGAGAGGGGGTAATAAAATATATTCCCCTTTGTTTTGTGTTATGAATTTGTTTCTTTTGTTTGGTGGAGGAGTACTTGGGCCTGCCCCGAGACCTACCTCAAAAATAATGAGAAATAAACCCCAAGTGGCAAAATAAACACCATCCAGAGTGGGGCTGATTTATTCCAGGCCACTCCCACTATCAGAGAGGGAAGCTCTGAGCCTGGCAAAGTGGATGAGGTGCCTTGCGACTCCGGCCATATAAAATCAAGTTACCCAAAGCTTAGATTCCCCCACAATTTACACTCCCAACCCTTGGTGTTAGTGCCACGACCGTTGCCCCAGGCTCAGCAGTAGAGGAGGAGGAAGAGCCAGTGAACTATTTGAGGACTGAGTCTTGGGAAGGTAATGAAAAATGTATTAAGGATGCTAAGTTAAATGTTATAGATTGTAAGGGCTGGAGGGACACAGCATCCCCAAGTCACTTTGGTTAAGGAGAGTTTGGTGAGAGGAAGACAAAACTCCCTGTAAGAGTTTAAGTGTAATGCTTTGACTGAGTTCTCTGTGACTGTGCCTCTGGCTAAGATCCACCCTGAGCAGGGGAATTTTAAGGGTGAGGTCATGGTAGCATCAGGAATTTGTTTCCTGCTGATATTTTAATAGGTAGTAACATTTTAGCCAGGTCTAAGCAGGTTAATGTTATAACTCGCAGCCAGAAAGAGGGCTCCTCTGTCCACAGACAAAGCAGGGAGGACTGGAAAGGGGCTGGGGGAATGCCCTCAGTTCTTTGCTGAGTGTAATAACTTGTCTTCAGAGGAGGAATTTGAAAATGCCATTGCTGTGGCCAGAATCTGCTCTGAACTTAAGTGAGGCTCAAGAGGAGTTTGTGAAGGCTGAACAAGCCGACCCTTCTCTGGACCAAGAGAGGGTTGCGGCTCAGAATAATACCCCTGCTGGGGAAGAAAAAGGTAGTTTTTTTGTTTTTGTTTTTTGGTAGAAGGAGACATACTGGTGAGGTTTGCAAGCAGGTAGTTGTGCCTGAGAAATACAGAGGAGAGTTGCTGCAGATAACTCATGATTGTCCATTCACAGGACACTTAAGAGTGGAAAGAACCTGTGACAGGCGTAAACGGAATTTGTATTGCCCTCACATGTTTGAGACAATACAAAATTACTGTAAGAGTTCTGACTTATGGTCAGAAGTGTAAGAGATTAAAGGGACCCTGCAAGGCTCCTATACAGCCATTGCCTATAATCAAAGAGGTGTTTACCAGAGTGTCTGCAGATATTGTTGTATCCCTCACTAAGCCTTCCAGGACTGGAAAGAAATATATACTTGGTGTGGTGGATTCTGCCACCAGGTATCCTGAAGCCGCAGTTTTATCTAATATCAAAGCTCCGATGGTAGCCACTGCCCTATTCACCATTTTTAGCAAGTCAGTTTTCCCAGGGAAATTGTCATAGAATCCAAGAAAAGTAGGACTGAAAGGGACTTCACTAGGTCATCTAGTTGAGTCCTCTGCACTCAAGGCAAGACTAAGTAATAACCTAGACCATTGCTGACAGGTGTTTGTCTAACGTGTTCTTTTAAACTTCCAATGATGGAGACTCCACAACCTCCCTAGGTAACTTGTTCCAGTGCTTAATTACCCTGACAGGAAGTTTTTTCCTAATGTCCAAACTAAACCTCCCTTGCTGCAATTTAAGCTCATTGCTTCTTGTCTTATCCTCAGAGGTTAAGGAGAACAATATTTCATCTTCCTCCTTGTAACAACCTTTTACGTGCTTGAAAACTGTTATGTCCCCCCTCAGTCTTTTCTTCTCCAGAATACACAAACCCAGTTTTTTCAATCTTTCCTCCTAGGTCATGTTTTCTAGACCTTTTAATAATTTTTGTTGCTTTCCTCTGGACTTCTTTCAATTTGTCCACATCTTCCCTGAAGTGTGGCACCCAGAACTGGACACACTACTGCAGTTGAGCCTTAGCGCAGAATAGAGTGGAAGAATTACTACTTGTGTCCTGCTTAGAACAATCCCAGAATGATCTTTTTTTCTTTTTTTTTTTCTTTTTTGCAATAGTATTACACTGACTTTTATTTAGCTTGTGATCCGCTATAATCCTTCCGCAGTACTCCTTCCTAGGCAGTCATTTCCCATTTTGTATGTATGCAATTGATTCTTCCTTCCTAAGTGGAGTACTTTGCATTTGTCCTTATTGAATTTCATCTTGTCAGACCATGGTGCAAACTTCATGTCTGTTGTCTTTAAAAAGTTGTGGGAGTTGTTTGAAGTGAAGCATTTAAAGGCTGCCCCCTATCATCCAGAAACTAATGGTCTGGTGGAGAGATTTAATGGAACTTTGAAAGCTGTACTGAAAATGTATGGCACCAGGTGAGAGAAGGAGTGGGATGCGTTACTCCCTTATTTGCTATTTGCATGCAGAAGTGTCCCCCTAAAGTCTTTTGGCTTTGCCCCCTTTGATCTCCTGTATGGGAGACAGGTTAGGGGACCCCTAGATTTAATTCGAGGCTTTGGGGAGGGTAGTACTGAGGAGACAAGACAACCTATAGGGGAGTATGTCACTTGTTTTAAAGAGAATTTACAAGCTGTGATGGATCTGTTGCAACAGAACCTGGAAAGAAGTCAGGAATCGCAGAAGGCTTGGTATGATAGACGTCCTGAAGAAAGATCATGTGATATTGGTGATTTGGTGTTAGTGCAGATTCTAGTGAGGAAAAACAAAATGCACAATTGTTGGGAAGCATTGTCAAGAAGCCCCATGGCAAGGGAGCTGTACAAACTGTACGTGTCAATAGATGGAAAGCTTACCACAAAACGGAGATGGGAGTGACTATGATTTGTTGTGCTGATAAGGGAACGTTTACTGACCCTTTAATTGATTTGGTCAGGGACAGTAAGGAAGAGACTCCTCTGGAGAGCACCGAGATGTGGGAGGGTCCGAAAAGCCCCAAAGCAAGAAATGTTAGCCCCTTTTAAGCATCACAGACAGGTATTTTCTTACTAGCCAAGTTTAACTGACAGGTTGGCACTCTCGGTCAACCACTCCAGACAGTGTGACATGCCCCTCCTCCACTGCAGTTTTTGCATAGTGGGTGGTCTTTTCTTAGGAGATACTTAAGACTTGGTAACAGAAGATCTGTCAAAGCTGTTAGGATAACGGTGGGTTTGAACTAACACTGTCCCTGTTACTAGCCAGGGTTTTGGGTCTCTTTCTCTTATGAGGACCAAATCCAGAAAACATTCTCCATTTCGGTGCTGAATGCTTCCATTGCTCTTCTGTTCTTGTGGACAAATATATAGCATAGCAAGCTGATTAGTTAGTAAAACTGTGTACAATTTCAGTCCTATTGCAATATTTTTGTTGATTTTGTTTATTAAAATGATGAGAAGGTGGGATTTGCAATTTGCAGAACATTATCATTTATATATAAACACAAAATATATGCAAGAAACTATATGAAGTGTATACTGTCTGCCTAGCACTCAACGAATACTACAAATATAGCAGCAAAATCAGATCAATTCAAAGCCTTCTCATTTCCATATTATGCAAAAAGAGATTCTTCAGGTTAGTGAGATTGAACATTGCTCTGTGCCATTCTGCAGTTTTGTGTTGAACCCCACCTGTTGCTGTTCTAAACATGGTTACTGTTTAAGGAGTAATTTCTTTTCCTGTCTCAAAAGTATTAAATTTACTGTTAGTCTTTCCTTGCAGGAATTAGTCATTTGAAAGTGGGTTATGTTTCCACTCATCAAAAGGCAACTAAAATGCAAATAGGCCTTTGAATTTTATGCAATACAGGTGTTTTCCCTGCCATATCTTATGGCATTGTGGTTAACTACAGTTTACAGGAATGCTGATCAGATAAAAATGTTTTAAGATTTGCTGAATAAGGAAATTGTGTGTACAGTTAATTTTAGTACCTGGGCAACAGACAACTGAGCTTTGTTTGAGAAAATTAAGCTAATTGTCTACCACTTCCTGAGGATGAGGACAGGCAGAATTACTTTTCATTTAGTCTCTCCGTACAATATCTTATTTTGATTAGATAGTCTAGATAAAATATTCATCATGTTGCTCTCAAGGTCCAGGCTATGTGTAAGGATGGCACTCTTACTCACTAATTGTGTAAATGCAACATAGGGCTGACCTGCAACATCCCTGTCATTCTGATACTGGGACATCCAAAGTGTAAGGGCACTGGGTGGTAGTTTGGTGCGGCAGACTAGGTTGAAACTATAATTTCACTTCACCTGTGACAAAATTGCCCTTTTCCTATGTGGATTTTAGAGGGAGCCCGACTCGTGATTTTTAAATATTTAGGGTTGTCAATGTTAAGACTGTGTAAGCAAACCTTGCAACTAATATATGCTCAGTGATGCTTATGAGCAGCCATGTGCACATCAGAATCTATTTTAGGGGCCTGATCCAAAGTTCATTTAAGTCAGTGGGTAGTCTTTTCATTAACTTCAATAGTCATTGGATCAGGCACTTACTGAGAGCAAGAAAGTTGCCCAGGAAACTTGGATTTTCTAGTTCTCCTTTTCAAAATATGCGTTGGTTATTTTAACTCCTTTCTGGCTGGCTCCTGGTATTACTCTGACTAGCATGTTCTAAAGCTGGAAGGAGAACTTGTTGTAAGAAATGGACAGAGGGAACCTCAGGTTAAAAAATAAACAGTGTAAACTGTAGTTTGTGCTTGTTTCTAAACTTGCCCCATAGTTGGAGTACCTACTAAGACCATTTGAAGGATTCCTCCCGCCCTCTGTGATAAACCCTGTTCTAAATTCTGGGGAAAGATCATTAATTGTGAAATGGCTCTAGAATTATAGAGGCAACTGATACTTTCTTCCTTATTTATAATTTAACAGCACCCAAAAGCGTGTTAGACAGTTCCCAAAACAGATAAAACATGATCCCTGTCACAAGGAATTTACACATTAATTTTGGACTTGCATCACAGGATTATGTAGAATGTTGTTGGGTCTTGCTAAATGTTTGTTGGCATCGTGGGTGGGTGGGTGTGAGAGAGAGGCTGGACTTCTAGTGTTTCTTCCTTAAAAATGCCCAAAATAGGAGGAGAGAAACGTTATGTATTTAATCCCTTCGAGTTCAGTTTCAGTCCCAGACTGTCTAGATGTGTATTGTAAATTATATTGCAGATTAAAAAACAACTCTGTAGTGTACTTGCAGTGGAAACTATTGTTCGGATAGTAATTTTTTTCAGTCAGTCAAATTCAGGAAAACATCCGCGTTTAAAAAAAAAAAATGCTTGTCAGCCATATGACACGTGCAAAAAAATGAAAGGAACAGAAGCGTAAGCTGGCCTTTTTTGTTCCGATGTAACTCTGTGCATGTGTGGTTAAATTTGCATCCGCTCCTTACAGCAAAAATGTTCCACTTACTAGATTCTAACCATAACTGAAGAATTTGCAAGGTTTGGCTCTATAATACAACCAATTTTTTAAATAAAACATTCTCAGATACTCCAATTCTAATATAGAACACTTGGATTACTGAGAGGAGTTCCAAACTCATTGAAATGTAAGTTTAGTTTTTACTGTGCAGCTGGAGTGATGACTATGGTTAAGGTTGCCACAGCATTTCCATTTTAAGCTGTTTAAGTCTTTTATAAGTTTCCAAAACTTTCATCTATTGGGCTGAAATTTCACAGGTTTAGTCTTTGACCAAGGTCTTTGGAGTGTTCTTGTTTTTGTTTTTGTTTTTGAAGGCTGAGTCAAAAATGATTCAGACATAAGGTACATTTGTGGTACATGGTACATATGGGGGGGTGGAGTGGAACCATCCCCCCCACCCTTTTTTCTTTTAATCAAACTTTAAGTATGGCTCTAGCTGTTTGAAATTGATAGAATTTAGAAACTTGGAAGGAACAGATCCTTGAGAGTGCCTATGACTTTCTTCATAAACTCATAGATTTTAAGATCAGAAAGGACCATCATGATCATCTAGCCTGACCTCCTGTATGTCGCAGGCCACAGAATCTTACCTACCCACTCTTGTAATAGGCCCATAGCCTCTTTCTGAGTTACTGGAGTCCTCAAATCGTGATGTGAGGATTGCACAGAATACCAGCAGAGTACCAATACCAATAACTTAACTTGGTAGATACGCTGAAAAATCTATAAGAGCAAATCAGGTTCAGAGAAGTCTGTTTGGATTGGGGACATTCAATGAACACTTAAGCGGTGTAGTGTTTTTGTGATTTAGTCGGTGACAGTCTTTTGTCTTTTCTGAACCAGTTACCAGCATGGTGGTAGGGGGTATTGTGCTGCTAAAGATGATCTTTTAGATAAGCCATAAAACCAAAATACTGAGTCTGACAACTTGTTGCCATTAAAGATACCATGGCACTCTTTTTCAAACAAAGAAGTGTTAACCCCATTGTTTTGGCTCTCTCAATACTCTCCATGTCCTGTACTAAATTGTTTTGTAGTATTAGTGTTTGCTAAAGTTATTTTTGTCCCAAAGGTAGCTATATTTCAGTGGCATAGGAAATGATTTCTTTGTATAGTTTGGGATATTTTGGAGTGAAACATTCCATCATTGTAAGAGATTATTACTTATTTAGTACCCTGAAGTATTAAACCAGGTTCCAGCTAACAGGTCAGTCTATCTTACATAAATTCATTCATGAAAAATTGTGTTGTATTTTAACAACTGTAAATAAAATCTATATTATCCAAATACAGAATATTATACTACTATTAAGTTTACAGGGCTGATTATTACACTTTTTTTTTTAGCACAGGAAGTTTTAGATAACCTGAAAGACCGTTGGTACCAAGCTGACAATCCACCTGCTGACCTGTTACTGAATGAGGAAGAGTTCTTGTCTTTTCTTCATCCGGAGCATAGTAGGGGGATGCTGAAGTTTATGGTCAAAGAAATCATCCGTGATCTAGGTATGTCAGTTATTTGGGACCTGTGTACCCTACAAAACTTACTGTTTGGGGACATGTTACATCATGGTAGTGTTACGAATTACACCTGGTAGGACACGCACACCAATGCTGCGAATTACACCTGGTAGGACACGCACACCAATGCTGCGAATTACACCTGGTAGGACACGCACAGTTCGAATCTAGGCTGAGGCACAGAAACAAAGTCCACAACTGCAGAGTTCCCAAAAAACACTAAGTTTATTACGCTCGAGCGTGGTGCCCCCCTGCTAGCCAGGGGGGACCACGAATATAGATTATACAAAGGTTATATACTTTTTAGCAAAGCATGTTGCCCTCGTGCATCGGAAACCTTAGCCAATAAACAAACCCTTGTCTTATCTACCACCTATCCCTGCTTGGTGCATTCCTCGTGCTATACCAGTATGTTAATTACACAGAATGGTCCTAAAGCCATGCATCAGTAACTTTTATTATCAGAATGGGAGGCCTCACGTCAAGGCCAAGAGACAGGGAGTTAGAGACTGACAAAAACCAGATACTGGGAGTCAAGGCAGGCTGGAAACAAGGAGGAGAATTTTCACAGGAATTCAGTATCTAAGGATCACTCCTCCTGGTGTATGATGTGCTGGCATTTAAACAGTGGTGGGCTCCAAACCAAAATGGAGTCACATGTGCTAACTTTTCCTTAACAGTAGCATCCTGGAACAAACTGAAACATGATTTGATCTTGTATGTGTGGATGGGACCAAACTGCTATCATCAGGGTACAGCTCTGGAGGCAACTCGATGGAGTTGCTCCTCCTTATATCAGTGGTGAACTCTGCCTGTAACACAATACTAACTCTAAGGGTGTTATAGATTTTGGTTCATTGTATACGGGCAAGACCCAACCATACTACAGTATGTTTGGGTACTGCTGTGTTACTACAAGGTCACTCAATCTGGTAGATTGTAGCATAGATGGATTTGATGCGTGTTCTCGTCATTTTATGATTCAATGGCATGAAGGACTCTCACAGGGTGACACTGGCCCTATAAGAGGGAAGGTGCTTGTGCACCCATGATTGGTCAGTTGACTCCAGTTAGTCTTAAAAGAGGGCACTGGGCACTAAAGGGGGAGATATCAGCAAGTGAGAGCAGCCTGAGATCAGGATACTGGAGGAGTTCCCCGAAGGAAGCTGTGGTGGCTCCTGGGGGAAGGCTGAAAGCAAGAGAGCAGCAGAGGGAGTTGTTTGCTGACTTTTAAACCTAAGAATCAAAACTGAGGGCCAGAGAGGGTTGAAGCAGGGGTGCAGTAGACAAGCTTATCCACTGATGACTCCACGCTAGAGAGCTGGAGCCAGAGGAACAGTGGAAGGGCCTACCTCTTGGCCTGTCTTAGACAAAACAGTTAACAGAATAGAGGGCATGACAGATGCTCCCATGAGGAGGATTAACTCCCATAAGAGAAGCTGGGGTGGGGGATGCTCTGCTAGGAAGAGCGGGGTCGCACTCGAGCTGAAGGGCTGGGGTGGCGGTCCTGGTTCAAGGACAGGAGAGGACTGACAAAGAGCCTGGGTGTGGTGGAAGATACCAGAACATAGTATGTGCTGTGTCTGAACTTGAGGATCTGAGACTGAGGATGGTATGCGCTGGGTGTGAGAAATGAACTACGTTTGGGACTTTCGTTATGGATTATTTGAACTATGTTTTAGTAATAAACCAGCCCCAAAGAGGGTATTAGTGAGTCAAGAAAGTTCACATGGAGTTACTGGAGAGTCTGAAGGAGGAAAACTGAGGTGTTCTGAGCTCGGTTGCCCTTTGACAAGGACGCTGTGGAAACTAGCTACTTTGTCCTTTCCAGGTACCACTAGTAGATTATCCAAAATCATACCTTTTACGCATGTTAAAGTAGGAAATAGTCGATATTTCTAAGAACTTAATACCTCAACAAGTGTTCATTGCCACAAAATCATTGCTGTGTTTTTTAACTTGTTAATAGTTCAGCAAAATAACTTCTCTGCTTGTTGGAATGTAAAAGCTGTTTAAATGCAAGAGTCTGTGTCGGTTCTGGAATATATCTTAAAAAGCATGATGGATGTTCCTGTTTATCTAGGATAGGCATGCCCAGATTTGATGGTTGTCAATGCTTCTTTACAGTTATATCAAAACAAATGAGCTTTAAATGTTATCACTTATACCTAAGGCTCTGTGTATGTCACGGAGGTCACGGATTCTGTGACTTCTGCAGCAGCCTGTGCAGCTGATCCCCGGGAGCCACCTGAGCAGCTCGGGCACTCCTGGCCAGTTGCACTGGCTGCTGCTGGGGCAGTCTCGGGCCTCCCCATTCTCCAGCAGCAGGAATTTGGGTGTGGGGGGCTCAGGGCTGGGGTTTGGGGTTCAGGGCGGTGTTTACCTGGGGGGGGCTCCCCAGAAGGGTGACAGGAACTCCCCTCCTTCACCTCCTAGTTTCACATGCTGCCTCCATCCACAGACACCGCCTTCGCAGCTCCCATTGGCCGTGGTTCCCAGCCAATGGGAGCTGTAGAACTGGGGCTTGGGGTGGAGCTAGAAGCTGGAGGTTGTGGTTTCTCAGGAGCTGGGTTGGGAACCCGTCCCAGGCCTGCCCACTTCTCCAAGTACCCATGGTGCCCCCCAGGGCTGCCCCCCTCCCCCCAGCACAGGTTTAGTCAGGGGTATATAGTAAAAGTCATGGACAGGTTACAGGCCATGAATTTTTGTTTGCAGCCTGTGACCTGTCCATGACTTTTACTAAAAATACCCATGACTAAAACGTAACCTTCATTATACCATTCACAGGCAAACATCAAATACATAAAATAAAATTGTGATACCTCTCATTGGACTACTAATAGAGTCTGGTTCATATATTTAACTTTCCTCTGTCACCATTTTAATTAGAATGATTGATGTATTTTTATAATAGTGCTAGAACAATTCATTATTTCAAAAACAAATTCACAATCATCAGTAGTAAGTCTTAAAAAATATTACTGGAAATCCTTCTGTAGGTTTCTTCTAATGCACATCGCACGCTTCAAAGATTACAATATCAAGAAAAGATCATTTCAAACATCGACAAGGAAACACTTGTCACATATATTAAGAATCCCTACTGAATTAAATTAATGTTGTTAAAATGTCACAAGTCCAGGGCTCTGGAGACACCCAGAGTTCTCATTTTTCCAAATTGCATGTCAAGAAGAAATTCAACTTGTATGTCTTTCAGTAAGGGACTTACTGGAATAATTTTCAAATAAGTACAAGTAAAGCCTTAAGATATGCATGGGAATTTATACTATAAACCTTTACAAACTATGGAAAAGTGTACATTGTGAAGACTATTTTAAAAACAGGTTAAAACACTGTAGCCAATTTGTGTTCATGCGAGGATTAAAAACATGCTGTCATCATTCATAAACCAGAAACTGGTTTGAAAGGACACATATGGTTTATGAAAGTGGCGGTGAAGCGGAGGGAACAATTGTGTTCTACGTATAGCCAGACTGACTGACCAGCTGGTGCACAAAGCCCTCTACTGTCCATGCAATAGTGAGCTGTTAATCTGCCAGTACATTGCATGGCTCTTTTTTTTTTTAAACTTTCTCTTCGGTTGGAAAAATGAAATAACTTGCAAGTCAAGATTTCTCAGTTGAATCATTCTTAAAGCATGTTAGTTTTTTGGCCTAATATCCTTTGAGTGTCCTTTCAGAAAGAACTGGTTCCTGTTTGTCACTTTATTGGCAGGTGAGGTGTAGTGTAAGCAGTATATGGTTCATTTTTCTCTGCTGCTCTGCTTCAGATCAGAGATGGCATGGATCACCCCTAGGCATAAGCAGTTTGAGCAGTATGAACTACAGAACTTCTTGCACCTAGGGAGTTGGGTTTGTGCCTATAACCAGAAGGTCAACACTGAAACACAGGGTTTATCTCACTTAGCCAGCCATTTTCTTGACTGATCGTTTTCTACTTTAACTGGAAACATAACTTAGACCGGATAAAATTGTTATAAGGAACAAATGGAATCAGTTTTATAATTTCCTCACTTACACTTGTGCTGGAACCACAGGGTACCACCAAGAGCCTTGAACTCTAGGAATTGTTCATGTCTTACTTCTCAATGGACACTTGTAAGTAGACTCCTCACTCCAGTTGTTTTTTGGCTTGCATTACAGATCAAGATGGAGATAAGAAACTCACCCTTTCAGAGTTCATTTCCTTGCCTGTTGGTACAGTAGAGAACCAGCAAGCTCAGGATATTGATGATGATTGGGTGAAAGATAGAAAGAAGGAATTTGAGGAAGTGATTGATGCCAACCACGATGGCATTGTCACCATGGAAGAGCTGGAGGTGGGTGACTCTGAAATCATTATTTTATTTATGTATATCGTTGAAAATATGACAGCACTTTCCAAACCCAGAGGAAGCCAAAACCTGGCCTCAAATGAAGGGTGATGGAAAAGATGCAGTTCTTATGCTTACATTTTGGACCATAATATAACCAGGTACAAACATAGAAGGATGCTAGAGTAACTTTAGCTTACATGCCAGGTTTTTTTTTTTTTTTGTTTTGTTTTTTTGGGGTTTTGTTTTCTTTTGCTTTTGCATATTGCCTTGCATAGGAATTTTTAAACGTGTAGTGCACAAAACCAAATCATTGATAGGAGTAGAAGCACACTTCCGATCTGAATGTGAGTAACTGACAACCTGTGTATTCAAATTCATTTAAAAAAAAAAGTGAGAACCATGATTTGTGAATATACTTTTTTCAAAAGTCACTTACCTGTAAAAGTTGCCAAATAGGTGCGCCATCGACTTCACCACATGCATTTGTTGTTTGTTAAGAGATTTTGATTCTGAAAAGACTGGATTGTTAAAAACATGAAAACTAGAGATGAATCAGATTGGGCAGACTATGCTCTGTCTTGCTATGTGAAGGAGTCCTAGAGTTAATGAGTCTTTTCTCACTGGTTCTCCCGTCTAAGGGAGGTCACTTGTGTGTGGGTGCGGGGACTGGGGGGAGGAATAAGATTAGTGAGCAATAAGAGAACAAAATTCCAGAAGGTAGATGCTCTGTTTAGATGCTTATTAAAGGAGTAATCAGTAACATGTGCAAAAAGTTCTGAGTTCCAAAATCTAAATTTGGAATAGTAGGGAGGAAAGTGAACTCCTCATTTCTGGCCCCACCGCAGAGCCCGCACCCCCCAACCAGAGACCTCACCCCCTCCCAAACCCCAACCCCAATTTTTTTTCAGCATTCATGGCCTGCCCTACAATTTCTATTTCCAGATGTGGCCCTCGGGCCAAAAATTTTGCCCACCGTTGCCTTATAACATGGGATACAGATGTTGTATGTGAGATTAATGCATGCAGCAATTTACAAGCATTCAATAAAGTCTAAACGCTAAAGACGTTTTTATAACTTGGGTACCTGTTTTACCAGTACTAACACACAGGTGATCCAGACCGATTCCAGCTATGTATTTGTCAGTATCCAAGTGAGCATGGGGACCTTGGTGTAAGTTGGAATCTAGTTTGCTAGTGTCACAGTATTGCATGTCACATTTTTGACACTGGGTTTGGAGGAGGCTATCTAGATCAAAAGTTTCCTTCAGAAATCCTGGTTATTTGATAGTTACAAATACATCTCAAATTTTAAATATTGTGATTTGTTCGCTTCACCTGTCCCAAGTCCTCAGTGCATGTAAAGCAATGCTTCCTCCTAAAAGTGACCACCAGTGCCCACACCCATAAATCGTGCAAGAAAAGAAACCTCTTACAACTTTAATCTATATTTTTTTCATTTACTCAAAGCCTGATGTCGTGGAAACTTCTGTAATTTGTTTCCGTTTTAATGTTCAATAGAGCCAAAGTTTAATAGTGTCAATTCTTGTGTGAAACTAAGTCATCACAGAAAATGGGACATTCTTAGCAATCTTATCAAAACAGGTGATCACATTTGGTTGATGTGTTTTTTGTTTCTGGGTTAGTCATTGTGAGAGATTTTAATTTGTATCTTTCTAGTTTCCATTTTACAAAAATCTGCCAGGCAGAGAGTAAGTCTTAGAAACCATTGGCACCTTGAAATTACTCTGGTAGAACTTGTTGCTGCTTTATCTGACTTGAAGAGCTTTACCTATATCATGAATGGAATCCTTTTTTTCTCTCCATAGTGGAATATTTTGAGTTCAGAATGGGGGAGAGTCCTTACAAATGCCTTGTGTTTTTACTTTCCACATGTGTGGTGTCTGACTGATAAATTCTATTCAATAATAACTTAAACTGAAAAAAATCGGGTTTTGTCTTTTGAAAGAAAAACCTTCCTTTATCATGAAAATCTACATTGTTTAAGAGTAGCAGCCGTGTTAGTCTGTATTCGCAAAAAGAAAAGGAGGACTTGTGGCACCTTAGAGACTAACCAATATATTTGAGCATAAGCTTTCGTGAGCTACAGCTCACTTCATCAGATGTATAAAAGTGGAAAACGCAGTGAGGATGTTTTTATACATACAGACCGTGAAAAAATGGGTGTTTATCACTTCAAGGAGAGTGATCACTTTAGATAAGCTATTACCAGCAGGAGAGTGGAGTGGGGTGGGGAGAGAAAACCTTTTGAAGTGATAAACACCCATTTTTTCACGGTCTGTATGTATAAAAGCATCCTCACTGCATTCTCCACTTTTATACATCTGATGAAGTGAGCTGTAGCTCACGAAAGCTTATGCTCAAATATATTGGTTAGTCTCTAAGGTGCCACAAGTCCTCCTTTTCTTTTTACATTGTTTAAGAAAGTCTAAATGAAGAGGCAACGGGTGTCTTTTATCTGAGGTTTGGTCGTTTTGTCAGAGCACAGATTCCTTAAACCAGTATCAACAGAATACTTATTGTGTCTGTGTCTCTCATGCACATGCTCATAGAATTTGTTAGAGTTGGGAAGTGAAGTGACTTTAAAATGGATCCAGGGCTTCCATCAGACTTCCTGATCACATTTGCTCAGGTTAGAAGATCAAAGATATTGTTTGTTACCAGCACTGCAGGCTAAACTTGCTTTCTAAAAATCAAGCTGTATTCTTAATGTCTCCTACAGTTCATGAACAACTAGATAGCAGGCATCTGCATCTCCTGGCAATTTTGTGAACAAAGCATGATGCAGAGTGGGTTTCAGATAATTTCTCTCATCAGTCATATGAGCTTTACTTGTAAAAGAGGTCTTGTAATAAACGCCTATGCAGAAAAGTGTTAATCCAAAAGATTGAAGGTTAGCCTATCAAAGAGACCTTAACTCAGCCTCTCTACTTGCAGGTGAAATTTTCCTCGGAAAAAGAAATTGGGAGGAAACAAAAATAAAAAAGATCCCCAAAGTTGTCTAGTGGGGCCTGAGCAACCACTACTTTTATTTTGTGTGGGATCTTTCCTTGCCTGATTCTAGGTCTAATCTGGTGTCTGGAAACTTGCAGATGTCTCTTACTTTCTGTCACTGACTAAGACTGCTGGAGGCCAATTTCCACATCAAACAAATTGTAGAAATACCAGTTGCAGTCAGCCACCAGCTAACATCAGAGAAGTTTTGGACTTTTGGTAGAACCAAGGAGGGGATGGGGTTTGGAAGGACCTTTGAGAGGAAAGTTATTGACCGGGCAGACTGACGTATTTTGGTACTTTCTATCATTTATATTCATTTTTGGGTCAAATAATGGAGGCCTCAGTATTTTCTCAAACAGTCAAAGGCTGAGGGTTCCAAATTTTGGCTTCGAGGCATGTGCTGTACTGCACCCAATGGCAGAAATTGAATCCTTTCTTATCTGTTGTAGAAATACATGGATCCTATGAATGAGTACAATGCCTTAAATGAAGCCAAGCAGATGATAGCTGTGGCAGATGAGAATCAGAACCATCACTTGGAGCTGGAGGAGATCCTGAAATACAGCGAATACTTCACTGGCAGCAAGCTTATGGACTACGCACGTAATGTTCATGAGGAGTTCTGATCATGCTCATCTCTGCAGAGCTCTGAAGCACCTTCTTGCTTTCCAAAAACAAAAAGAAAGTTACCTTGCTGCTATATGTGTTGTGTGTGTATGATGTGTTGTCCTAGACTTAAAAAAAAAACCCCGTCCATATAAAAGAACTGCAGTTCTCCTTTAACCTTCAGTATAAAGAAGGAAAGGGCTGTAAGTAACAAGGCAAGATCTGGACTAACCAGTTCATACTACCTTGTGCAGTTATTATAGCTGAAAATTCAGCTTAGGCCTTGTGAAGGCATCTTTAAATATCTAACTTCTCTTGCCTACGAAGCTGCTGATCTATGAAAATCATCATTAACATTGGAGGATCTTAGTTTTTTTTAAAGGGGATCGTTTCAGATATTTCTTTTCTGACAGCATTCTAGGAGAATCCAGCAAGGAATTAGTTGGCTTAAAAGCTGCATTGGTTTTGCTCAGCACAGGATCCTTTATATTTAGGGGTGTGGATATGTACTTTTCAGCTCATGAACGTCAGCTGTAAATTGCATCAGAGGTGCACGCTGTCTTAATGCAGGTGGGCTGATTAGGTTGTGTTTTCAGCTGCCTTTAATATATATTCACCTCACTCACTTCTAAATGTACTAGAGCAGCCACTAGCCGGGTGAAGAAAAGAAAAATTTGAACACTCTTAAAATATTCACTCTAAGTGAAAGGCTCCATCAGTTGAACTCTGACTGCTGAGGAGCTTATTGATATTCACCATTGCTTTTGGCTGGACAGGCATGGCTTTCGTTGCATTCCATTATACGAATGAGAAGCCTGCTGCATCTGAGTCAAAGTTTTTGAACAGAGTAAGTATTTTCTTTTAGCACTCTGCTGACAGGAACCATATGGCTGGAAAGAACAGACAGCCATGAGAGAGGAAATGGCAACCACGTTGATTTAAAGGCTGTCCAACCCGATCTGTACTTTTTTGGTTCATCCTCCTCCTCTTCTTGCGTTTTTCACAATACGTTTTAGTCTGGATATTGGGTGTGCAGTGTTGGAGACTATTAAATAACTGCTTTTCCAACACTGCTTTCACAATCTGAAAAATTACTTTCCTTTTTAAACAGGAGTGTTTGAAATTTTACAAGTGAAATCCTTTTTTCGATTTAAAGCTGAATGGAAACTGATCTACAGTGTCACAGAAGTCCCACTCTTGTGCTGTTCTGCAGCTGTGGGAACGAGAAGCTCATTTTAATCACTTTCATTTCAAAACTGTTCACATATCTAAATACAGAGAGGGGAATGTCTTAACCTGTGAATGTTCAGGGAGCTGCAGGGAGAAAAAATGGATTCAGCTTTTAGAATCATGAACTGTGTTGCAACTAATTAGAATTCACTGTCTGTCTGGTTAAATTTGTTAAATGAGTGGAGCTATTTGGTTAGGTCTCACAAGCTAATCCCTACAAGTAGGATTGGTCTCAACCTCCACTGGTTTAATGTATGTCCCACTCTTCTCTAGCTGTACTGTGCTCTAGCAGAGGCAGTTCAGAACTTCTTAAGGGTCCTTGAGCTTTTTGGTTTAATCTGTTTTGGCGGTAATCTCTATGGAGAATCGTGTAACACCAGGGTCATAGCCACTCATGTTTAAAATAAAAAATGCTTCACTTTATTCTAGCCTTACCCTTGCTGTAAAAAAAACCCATCTTTTGGGGGATTGCTTGAAATTTCAATTAAGGTGTGTTCTATCTGATCAAGTTTATTCTCTTAATATAATGTAAATACAGAGATTGCTGTTTGTTTTGATTTAAAATGTCCCCTTTTTTTGTTAAATGGCTTGTATCAAAGTATTTTTATATACATTGATCTTTTTTGCATTAAATATTTTTCTCTGTGCTTTGGAAATGCTCCAGCATTGAGATTCTTCGTTTAGACAAACTAATTTAAGACCTCAGATTAAAGAAATTGAATCATGAAGTGAAAATAAGTCAAATAGAAGGGGGGAAAGAGTGGGGAAATTGTGAAAGTCTACTCATGTTCTACTCATAATCAAAAGTAGCTGGATGTTCCTTTTAAAATGAGTCTCCAGAGACTGACTTAGACCCCAACTACTCTAGGACTTGCAACCAACTTTGGGTTTTGTTTAAACATGGTTGGTTTGTAGTGTAGACAGGGCCTGAAACAATACCTCCGATATGATTTTTTTTTTTATCTCACACCTGATGTTACCCTGGCATCACTGTTACCTTTTTCATTGTGGATTAATCTGTTCAGTTACCATCATGAGGATTAGAAACTGAGACTTGATCTACACAATCTGTCTGTCTCCTCCCCCTCTTCAAGAACTAGTACCCCTTTTGGTGGAGGAGAGGGGGCAACTGGGCTGTGTGGAGAGACTCAGATTCCTCTCTCCACATTTTACAAAGAAGGAAACTAAGTTCAGATACCATTCTGTTTAATCATCCTATGGTTCTTTAGTGTTCTACTTCCAATCTTGCCTTTCCCAATTTCTGCATCTGTCAGATTTTTATCCACAGGACAGTTTTCATCTGCCAGTAATCTACTATTGATCCAGTTCTTCCATTTAGCACTACTTACAGTAGTTGATTTTTTAGCTTTTATCCATGGTCATTTACCACTGTTCATAACATAAAAGCAGTCTGCCTACTGCTATAAAGTGCTTGGTAGCCAAGCTATCACCGGCACATGGCAGGTGGGAGGGTTTGTGTTTTGGGGAAAGGTGGGGGGAATTAAATGAAACCTATTTGGTCTTTAGTAGACTAACGTTGAGTTATTCATTGTGTGATATAACTTAGGGTGTGTGCATATAGTTACAACTTCCTGAAACTGCAATGTAAAGTGTGTACATTAACAGTATTTACCAACTGAATGATACTTTACCAGCATTCAATTGTAATGAAGTAGCATCTGAATACATAGTCATCAGCGTTTACATTGTTTTTGCTTTAAATGAGTTTAGCACATTTCCAACCTTATGTTGTTTGTAAATTTCATCCACATCAAAGTCTTTTGTTCTGATTCCCTTCCAAATGAATAAACAGATCCTGCTACTTGCTATGAAAGGAGGAGGAAGACCGTTGAATTTGATCAAAAGTTGCAAAGGGAAGAAATAAGTCAGTAAAATATAAAATTATATTTACCTGATTTTTTTTTATAGTGATGTTACCTAGCAAGACTGAGGCCCCTGTATTTCCTATGTACAGACCAGCGTGGGTCATGTTCTTTTTTCATTGCAGGTAGAGCAAAAGATGATTTGGAATGAAAAAAAAAAATCTGCAGCTCTGGTTTCTTTTGAAAGGAACGGCTTTACTAATGCTGTAACGTTCCAAATATTTGGAGAGGACTGTAGACTGGAAAAAAATTTGGGGTATGTCTTTAAAAATTCAGAGACATTAGGGGAACAGCATAAATAAAATACAGCAATAGAATTGCTCTGCAGTCCTCTCAACTGTATCAGATTATAAGGGACGTCGTTCATTTCAGGTCCAAATTTACTTCCCTCCAATAGAGACCTGGTGGTGGTTTCTTGCAAGTGAACTGTAAATTGACATCCGAAATGCCAAGGCTTAGAAGTCTGGTTCTAAAACACTTGACAAATTTTAAATAAAAATCAAATAAAATCCCTTTTTGACTATTGTCTTCTAATTTGGGCCTTGGCTTGAACACCTTTAGAGGCCATTATCACTAGGGTAGCTAAGCAGATTCTGGGAGCCCTGAAACCTGTGTATCTAACTCCTGTTGATAAAACTTGAATGATGAATGTAGGTGAAACCTTGCTGCTTCTGTCATCGGTCTCATTCTCCCTTTCTGTGCTGTACTAACTTGTGCATGAAGGAGAACAAGCTGATGCCCTCTCCCACACTTCTCACTACTGCTGGCTTCCCCCTCCCACGTCCCAGGCACACCTTCTTTCAGGTCCTCCTCCTCAGTCATGGAAGGGAACAGAACTGGTGTGATTTTGCTGTACAGGAGGACACCAAACAACGCTAAGGGACATCCATGTGGGTTCCTCATCTCCTGTGCCCTAAGGGAAACAGTTCTGCAGGGTGCTTCATTTCCCATAGAGCACAGGAAGGCTTTGAGAGAAGGGTCAGAATAGCTGGTTCGTGTATAGGCCAAACTCCCCTGGCTAGAGCAATGCAGCTGATGTGGAAGCTACTGTGGCTCTAATGCAGTAGCCCCACTGTTGTACTAAGGGCAGAGGGGCTGATTCCATGTGCACCTAGCCCCTGTGGAATTAGCATGTACACAGTCCGTATTTCACTTCCACTGTACCCTGATGTACCACACTCTTAGTTTTAGTACTTAGGAGTTAATTTTGTCCTAATAATGGTGGACACTGTCTCCTATTTCTCCCTCCATTAAAGCCCTGCCCATTTACACTAGCTGGAGTGATACTTGCAAAGCATGAGGCTAATATGTGACGTTTAACCACTATCCCTAAAAGCTGCTCACCAGAATTCTTGTAAAACTATTGTTCCTCCTTCTGGCTTTCAAAATGAGTGACAGCACTTCAGCTCACATAACGGGAGGCTAAGGCTGGGGTTTCTCACGAAGGACGTGGTTCGTTCCTAATAAAAGCTTAAGCTAAGAAATGGCATGTGGCCCTTTTTTTAGGGCCTAAAATAATTCTTTCATAGAATTGATTTAGAAAACTTTATTTTCCCTGCTTCCTTGAAGGAACCCGAAAGCTGAAAGAGGAGGAGCTGAAAAGAGGTGGTACATGGCTGGGAATTTCCCCATTGCAGGCATATGAATTGCCTTCCTGTTCTTCCGCAGTCTAGGTTCAACCTGTCCTAGAGTTTACTTTTTTTTGCAGGGGAAGTGGAGAGTCAGCATGGCTGGACGAGGATTAGCCAAATTTGTCTTCTCTTCTTTTACTGCTGTTCTGTTCTTCCTGTTGCTCTCTGCTATGCAGTGTTCAGGGCTGATATGTGGACAATTTGAATATCCCTTACATAAAAGATGCTGCAGGGATTGTGCTCCTGGTAAGTCCTCATCATCAACTCAATATTGACAGTCCTTGTTAGATGTAAAGTCCAGCACTTTATGAGGTGGGGGTGGGGGAAATAATCTTGTGAACCCAAAATGTTACTGATATGTAGGAAACAAAGTCTGAACTGTAAAATACTGTTTTATAAGATGTCTAGAATTCTGTCTAGTTTGCAATAAACTCTTTCTGTAACTTAAGTGGGTAACTGTGAGAAACTCTATGCGTCACTCTACGGAATGAAATCTTCAAAGGCTCGTCTACGCTGGCTTCTTTTTCCTAAAATTTCCCACTGGTGCAGGTCCGTGATGCTAGACAGACTGGCTGCCAACACCTTAACTAACCTATTGTCTAGCCTGGCTCTGATTAGGAGGAAATGCCATGTTGGTTAAAATGCTGGTGGACATAGAAGCCTTGTTGGCACTAATACTTACGTTGTAGCTGCAATGGTGGGTCATCTTAATAAGAAAATAGGTCTAGTAAAGTTAAGGGTAAGACTGTGCAAGATGTCTTTAAAGCTGCTTCCGTTGAAACAGCGTTTACTGTAGCTAAAGCTTATATGTTTTTGTTTAAAAAAAAAAAGTGTTGATTGACCGACCATATGTTGTCCTATTGAAGAGAACAGGGCGTGCCAAATATCACTGGAAAAATCAAGATTTATGGATGGCCGGCATCCTTGGATTTTTAAATTGCTCTGCAGGCATGATCCACATGCCATGTGGACTTCTCCCTGTGAAGAGAGCTAGTTCTCATTGCTTCACGTAATTCATGAGCACGATTTGGCAAGACCATAGGTGGCAGCAAACGGAGTACTTGTTTCCTCCCACTTTCTCCTTTTTGGTAGAAACTGAATGAATTTTGCTCTGTCTGTTTTTTCTTTGTCGCAGCTGCTGTTAGAGCAGAATGACAGTTCTGCAGACAGAGCTGAGGAAGTGGAAAAGTGCAAAAAAAAAAAAAATACACAGGCACTGTTAGTTGGATATGATTATAGAAATTACTTGACAACCGAGAGTAACCACAACTGGCATGTGACACCACACTGGGCAGTCTGTTAATAGAAAGTTGCATGTAGAGTTCAGGGCTGACAGGAAGGGAAGGTACATTCTCACCTGTGCAGGATGATTAGATTGTGTGCCTGCACCTTTTTGCAAGAGGTTTCCGTTTAAAAAAAATCCTGTACAGAGTTGTCTCTGCATCTCCAAATGAGAGCTCTTTCTTTCTTCACGGTTCCATCCACCTGTCCATGGAAAATTTGTACTGCATTCGCTATTGCAGCGAAAACTGAAACCAGTGTTTTTCCAAAGAACCTGGTTGTAACAGATCCCCATTCTTGAGACTTGGCTTCTGCGTGAGCCCTCTCAGGTATTCACAAAGCTACTGAATTATGAGGGTTTTTGAGTTCCTCATTCTGGGATACATCCCACCCCTGGAAAGTGGGTACAGCCAATCCCTCATGGGTCACATGCTACTTCTTTTCTCCTTAATGTGGTGAGGGAGTTTCCACTGGCTGTCGCTTAGTTAGAAGCTACTGAGTCAGTTCTAGACGGGGGGTGAACCTTTCTCCCTCCTGTCTCCACAGGCAAATATATTCCTATGTCTTGCAATTAATTACTGAGGTAAAACAGTGGAGATATATATTCTTTGGTAATTGCCATATGAAAATGCAGCAGTCAAGATAGTTGATCTAGACAGTATCTTCTGTGGTACAAAGTCATTTGATTGTGGGTGTTGTGGTTTTGTTCAAATGAATTCTCTCCCAGCTACTCAGAAAATGCCCTGAATTTTGCCTGCCAGTTCTTGGAACATTCTGCATTCAGGAGAGTAGTCTGTTTCCTGAGAGTGTAGGATGAGCAAAAGATAATGAGTTAATGGGTTTTAGTGCTGTGAGAATAATGAGTTATCCTTTCTCAGAACTGCTTGCTGTTAGCACCCAGTGAAACTTAGAGAAAATGAATGAGTGGGGTGGAAAAAAGTACAGTGTGATCCTCGTTTTCCAAGAGCAAGGGTGAGAATAAAAAATTAATTACAGCTGGACTTCAAAAGTACTGAGCATAAAAATGTTGGCTCCTTATTTTCAAGTAGCCTATACCGGGTTCTCAAACTGGGGGTCGTGACCCCTCAGGGGGTTGCAAGGTGGTTACATGGGAGTCGCCAGCTGTCAGCTCCATGAGGCTGACAGTCCCAAGCCCCCATTAAATTACCCCCCCCCCCATTTTTAATTTATAAGGGAGAGGTCACACTCAGAGATGTGCTGCGTGAAAGGGGTCACCAATACAAAAAGTTTGAAAACCACTGGCCTATACTGTATGTTAGGCCATTAGCAAGATACAGGAAATGTGCCTCGATACCTAGAGCATAAGATGGGACTCAGAACCTCTTGATACTATTCCTGGTTCTGCCACTGACTGCTGTTAGCCCTTGGACAAGTCATTTAATCCCTGCACCTCATTATCTGTCTACAAAACAAACTAGATTGAATTGTTACCTACTTCAAAAGTGTTGTGGAACTTAATGTTTGAAAAGCATTCTGAACTCAGCTGAAAGTACAAAGTACAGTATTGTTGCACTATCTGTTGCAGCAACATGAGTGTGCCTCATTTCTTGCAAAAAACCTACCCATTATATGCAAGTTCTCTGGGGAGTATATGCAAGTTTCAGGGCACAACTGACCAACAATTAACAGGGGGCACTTCCTGTCCATTCAGGCATTCCTTTAGTATAATGCCGTGTGTATCTAAAACAAGTACTCCTCAAAGGGGGAATTCTAATTCTGAGAGAGACACATGAGATCTGTTACCTAGCTGCCTGTAACAGCCGTGAGTAAAGCAGATAGCAGCAATCTCTAGAATAGAAGGAGAGACGTGCTGTAGTGTTTTATGTCACTTTACAAATGTGATTTGATTATTTCCTGACATACCTGTGAGTGGGCTAAATAACAGTGGGATAGTGCAGATGGGGAAACAGAACATTTAAGCCCAATGCCAGAAGAAATGAGCATCAGAGCCAGAATTAGAACTCGGGACCAATGCTCGAAACGCTGAAGCACTCCACTCCTCTGATCTCAGTTGTGGGAAATGATGCCATCTCCTGTCACTCCTGAATTAGTGGTTTGAATCCAGACTACTCTGACAGCTGTTTTGGTGAAAGTGAAATGATTTTGGTGACATTAATCAAGTTCTTAGTGGACAGACGCCATGCTAATTGAGCATGTTAGAAATGAATTGGTGTTCATATTAGACACTGCTATCATAGTTGGCACCTGTGTCTAAGGAGAGAGGCTGAATCAATTTCCAACTCCTAGAGGTGGTCCACCTTTGGATGACGCTAGGAAAGACTTCAGTGCTATCAAACCACAAATCTGAAAGGCAGAGCTAATACTGATTTGGGTACAAAACAAAACTGAAACATTTGTGTGAAGAGTTAATTTCCCACATCTTCCGTGCCCCCCCCCCCCCCCCCCCCCGTTCTATGGATATGTCAATGTATTTTCAGTTTGGGCCAGGGGGAAGTGCTCTGAAGAGAAGACTGAGAAAAGTATGTCCAGATCCTCAAAGTTATATAGACTCATATGGTCTACTGATTTCAATGGAAGTCAGATGCGTAAATAACTTTGAGGATCTGGGCTATAGGGGCTGATCCTACAAGCTCAGAAGTCAAGGGAAATATGCAGGATTGGGTTTAAAACATTTTCTTTTGCACAATGTTGCTCAACTGAAGGTGCTTATCCATTTACTGAAACTTCTTTTACAATTTTGTAGCAACCTCCCTGTTTCAAATAGGAGCCCTGTATTGACTCAAGATCATGAGTCATGTGTCAGTGTAAATATTCCTTGCATTGTGAATTCCTGCCTGGAGAATCTGTACTTTCATCCACCTGCTGCAAGTCTCTATTAAAGAGCGGCAGTATTCCTGGGTTCGAGTTTTGGCTCTGCCACGGACTTACTGTGTGACCTTGTCACTTGCTCTCTCTGGGTCTATTTTCCTGTTTAAAAAAAGGGGACGACAATATCTGCTACCACGATGAGTGCCAATAGAAGAGCTTGGATGGATGCATCAGTACCTCAGAGGGGAGGCTGTCAAGCTTAATACATTAATGTTTAATGTGCTTTGAGATCCCCCTGGAGAAAGATGCTATAGACATTCATATTAACTATTTAATTGCTGCATGTCATAATAGGTCTATCAACCTACCTGCTTTAGCATCCAATGCATCTGTTTGCCCCTTGGTCTCTACTAAGGCAGTTCAAATGACTTTTTATCTTGGTGGAGGTACTGTGGGAAAGCCACAGTATTGTACAGATATCAGCCTCTTGTATCACAGCTGTAGTGGCAAATTGACCCTTGTCAGTGACCTCAGCTGCATACCCTGACATTCAAATAATTCAAAAAGTTCCATTGTAGAAAAATGCTGTTTGAGATGCATTGGTGAAGGGGATGGATGTTCCTGTCTGTTTTCAGAAGGCTAATCGGTGTCTAGAAGTGGGTCATGGCTGTTAATGCCCGGACAGTGACACAAAGGGATTCCTCTCCCATACGTGCTCTTTGTCCTAGGTGAGGAAATGAAAAACCGCTGCTCGCCAACATCAGAAACGGAGTGTGTCCCCTGCCAACATGGATACTATAACTCAAAGCATAACTACTATTCGTGCAAAAGCTGCACCGTCTGTGACACAGGTAAGTCAGCTATGCAGTGGCCACTTCTTTACAAGGGGTCCCCAGACTATCCCCCTAAAGCCCTTAGGTGCTCTTCTCAGGCCCCCCTTCTCTTTCCTGCTCCCCAAAGGGCTGGGAGATAAAGTTTTTGCACACACAAAAATTGCTCATTTTTTCAAGCCATTATAAGAGCTGGTGGATTTTTTTTTTTTAATTTTGACTGGGGAAAAATGGTTTTGTTTAATTTTGCTTTTTTTTTTCATATTTCAAGTCAAAGACTCTAACTTGAACCCATTCATTTGCTCTTTAATTACCTTGTTAAATGGCACAAGGGAATCCATTGCATGCAAACAGAGTTTCAAGAGACTAGAATTGACCTCCATGTCTCTCATTTGCCAGTGCAGAACAATGAGCACTAGGCCAGTTTCATTTGTGCTTTTAATTAATTTCCTTTCTTCCCTACCACCTCCCCAACTCTTTGCTCCTAGATAGGGGAAGCATGGAGGTGAAGAAGTGTGATAAGATATCCGATACAGTTTGCATGTGCATGAAGGGTTACACCCCATACGACAGCAGATCGTCAGAGGAATCCCCGTCAGGAAAAGGTGAGTAATTAGCTTTTTAAAAAAATTATGACAGTATTCCTCCTAGTGAAAAGCACCTGCTGGCTGTTTTGTAAATTATCTCCGTCTCCAAGACAACCACTGCTAACAGGGGGATGTGCAAAATGCTGCAGGAAACGCAAGGTACCTCACCAGGAAACAGAATAAAAAGGGTGTTGTACTTGTTCAGTATGCTACTTTCCCTTTGTACATATCCAAATGTTGACTGCAATTTCAGTGGTGCTGTTGTATGTACTCTGGTTTTGCATGACACTCTGGAATGGAAGCTGTTTTATACATGTAAGGTATCGTCGTAATGGTCATGTATCGTTCTTGCTCCTGGCTTATCCAAAGGATGTTCACAGCTACTCCAAATCTGTATCAAACAACCATAGTTTTAAAATATTGTCTATTTTTCAGAATGCTTCCCTTGTCCTGATGGGCATTTTTCCAATGGAAACAATGACAGATGTCGGCCCTGGGTCAAGTACGTATCCCTCACCCAAACAAACTGAGCTTAAACTTTTGTTTCTTGCATAGTAGTTAAGAGTTGCTCACAGCAGTCCCTTCTATCTCCTTCCCTAAAGTTAGTATATGGAATTCCCGAAGATAAGCCAGGAACAAACGCAGTAAGACTTGTATTCATGATGACTCTTAGGATGCCTGCAAGTGGGCTATGTGCCAAGTTCATGGGATGCATTGGTATCCTGCGTTTTCCCTTTTCCACCATGATGGTTTCAGTAGAAAGATGGCCAAGTGGAAATGTCACATAACTGGAAAGGGCTCCACCACCTCACACAGAGAAGCTATTCGTGATTGTAGCAGACCACATGGAAGCTGAAGGGAGGACCACAGCTTGCAAGAGGGAAGAGTTTGGAGGAGGCTCCAGGAAATTGGTCTGTGTGCACATGACTAGAGAACGCTAGCTGATGTCCCGACATCCATGTAAACAGTCTTCTTTGTAAAGAGCCAGTTTAGTTTTACAAGCACGGAGTCTTTTCATGTTAACCCAGCATGCATTGCCTGAAACAATGATGTTTTCTTCCCTGGGAGCAATTCTTCACCCCTCTTCTTTTTTGTCTCATCCCATGGTGTTCTCTCTAGTTGAGCAGAAGTTGGGAATACAGCTGAAACCCATGCTCCACTTTGGGAGGGTTCATCTGAATTTCCAATGTTCAAGTAAGCAGGAAAAGATTTGTTGTGTTTTTTTTTTTAAATTAAAAAAATGAAATAAAAATCCAGGCCTTCATTATACAACATAAAGAAGTCGTTGTCCCCCGTCCCCCCCCCACACACACACACCCTCCCAAAAATGTGCATATGCTCCATCTTTTTTCCTGTGCAGGTCACCTTTATATTTGGCACTGAAGCTGTTTAAGTAATTCCATTTATTTATTTACACTGGCAGCTGCCTCGCTTATGGTAAAAAGACTCTGAAACCTGGGACAAAAACAGAAGATGCTATCTGCGATGACCAGGACAAACAGGCCACCACACTCCAAACATCCACCTTGTACCTCTCTCTCATCAGCCACAGAAGCAATGGATCTACTACAGCATCCACCCCCTTCACATCCAAAGACACCATTTCCACCACTCCTGTTAAAAAGGAGATTAACTGGGGTAAGGGAAGGCTGAGTCTTGTCTTCTAGTAGTTACCTCCTTTTGCCTGCTCTTCTGAACAACTCTTTTGTTCCCCTGCAGTCTATCCAAAATGCCATTGCCAAACTCATCTTCCTCCAACTATATCAGCCCCCTTTGTAACCAGTCACTTCAGATTCCACATCACCTTCCTTAGCGGTTTCAAACTCCCCACACAGTTCTGTTGGTGCCAACGTCTTATCACTTGTTGCCTGCCAGCCTCCTCTTTTCCTCTGCATGCCCCCTTTGTTACCTTTTTCCACAAGCTCCTCTGTCCCTTCCCCAAGCTTTTGGATGCCTTCTCCTAACCCTATATGCCATGCAGCCCCCCTCTCCTCCTCAGACCTGTTTTCCCACAGCCTCTCAATGAGCATTCCTCTCATCCTGTATATACACATAAATAATTCTATCTTTAAAAAAATAAATCAAGGCATTAACAAGGTGATTGTACCACCCAGGCATCCCATAACCTCCCATGTGTATTCCCTCCTCAGGCAGGAAGAATGAGCTCATTTCCACTTCCCCAGTTGATTTGGTTCCTGCTCTTCCTTAGCTTCATGTACGTGCTAGATTTGAATTTGGCAGCTCACATGAACTGTCAACTCAGTGAAACGATTTAATCTCTTACCATCGTAGCCACCTACCCACTTGCAGTCATGGTTAGCTTTTAAAAACTATGGGAAACGTGGACACTCTGACTCCTGTGACATGAATGTAGCCTTAATTGTAGGGCGATAGGTTCCCTTCATGGTTGTGAGGTTGCCACAGTTATGTCATTATCCTTATTGGAATCATCACTTTCTCATGCATTCAGTCTCCCAGATTCCATGCTCCTCATCTTATTTGATTTAACAAGTTTTTATGTAATGCTCATCATCATGGCATCAGAGTGCCTACGTCTTATGTAACTTGGGATGGTAATAACGCAGGGGCTCAGCAGTGCGTGTGTTCTCTCTCTCTCTCGTGCGTATGTAATGTTCTTCCTTTATTTTTCTCCTAGGGTCCTTATCGCTCATTCTGATTTGCTTAACGTTGCTCATGGTATCTGGAATGTCCATCCTCCTCTTGACTATCCAGACGACCAAAAAGGATAAGACAAAGAGGCCTCCTGTGAATGGACAACTCGGTGAGTCTCTGTTAAAAGCTTGCTGTTCTACACTATTAATTTGGAGAGAATGGGTGGATAACCTGGGTCTCTCAGGGTATGGCTACACTGCAGAGTAGGCCCAGGGTTGAAACTCAGGCTCAATTCCTAATCCCCCTTCCAACTAAACACACATTGTGCTAACCCAGGGCTCACATCCTAGGACTCTATGGGGTAGAGTGTCCGAGCCTGAGTCAAGCCGGGACCCAGGGTTCCAACCCTATTGCTTAGCAGTGTAGACACAGCCCCATTGGAGTCTGCCAAAAATATTTCACAATCCCACTGATCAACTTTGCTTGTCCTCTGGACAGTCAAGTTTGGTGAACAGTAAAGTTTTCTCTCGCTGCATGACTCTCTAATTTAAATGATCTGTGGTGGGCCTTGAACAAAGATTGGCATACATCCCTGGCCCTTAGCCAATGGGAGAGTGCCTTGAAAAACATTTAAAAACTCTGCTTGTGGTCTGTGTTTTAAGGCTGATCCAGCAGAAAATTATTTTTCTTTTATATTGGTCCCTGCATAAGTTATAGTGCATGGGTCTGGCCAGTTCAGTCAGTTGCTGGAGGTGCGGGTCTGCCAGAGCCAAGATCTGTTTTGGGGGATGTATCTGATCACCCTGGAAACTCTCCAGCTCACAGAAAGCTTGGCTTTCTAGAGCAGTGCCTGTAGCTGAATGGCTTGCTTAGATGGAAGAGAAATTTCCCCTCCAGGGGTAAAAGCTTGACTTAGTGATCGGGATGACCTGGTAGCTAAAGGACAGACAGTATTTCAGAGAGGAGGGACTTCAGACAAATCTGAAGAGATTTGGTTTAACTTTTTAGAAGGCTTTAATAAACCCCTAGTGGATAGGAACTGAGATGTTCTCCTTTCCCCTCTCTGCTCCCTTCCTTCTCTTCCCAGTCCTTTATCTTTTCTTCCTCCTGCCTTGCTTACCGTTCCCCCTTCCTTCCTTTTTCTCTTTACTTCGTTATTCTCTTTTCTGTATGGCTTTATAGCTACCAAAATATTTGACACATACCCGCACCACGGAGATCAGCTCGCGGAGGAGAAGGATTGGATTGATACAGCATGCTGAAAAAAATAACATAGCTTCATATACTCACTGAGTGAATCTGTGACACCGGACCAGCCTGGCTGAAATATACTGTGTCTGCGTACGCCATCAGCACGTGTGTTTCCCCCTCTATGTGCAATTTTGTACTCTTCTTCCTTTTTTCTTTCTCTTTTCTACTTTCCCCCTTACTTGGGGAGAGGGGGAATCAATAATACATAAATAATAAAAAAATTGCCACTCTGCCGGGCAACCGTATAAGATGCCTGCTGAAGGTGTGACCCTTTTCTGTCCATGTACAAATGAGCTGCTGCAGGGTCTTTCATTCACCTCTTCCAAATGACTGAATTGTTTGACTGGCCAGGGGGCGGGCACTCAATTCAAAGCCAATTATACGCATGGTTCTGGTTCAGCCCTCTGCTGCCTGCTCGTCTCGTTACACAGCCCCAATAAAATAGGTCCCCATTGTTCCCTTAACCCATCCCACTTCTATTAGATACCCCATATCGGCTAGACCAGCAAGCAGTAATCTAGAAGTCGCTCCCTGCCGGAGTAATTCTGTGCGCCCGTGTGTGTGTGGAACCAGAAGAGCCATTTGCTTCTCTTTCCCCTCCTGCTCTGTACAAAGTTTCTGTACTCTGTTTTTCAGATGGAAAGAGCTTTCGAATTCCTATCCAGGAAGAGCAAGTCGACTCCAATTCCAGCCTCATCAAAAACTGATTCCCTGTTATACTACAGTGTACTGTCATCTGTGCCAGACAGTAGGAACCTAGCAATGCAACAAATACTCCCCATGTAAAGGAATATTCTGTATGTGCTGGTGCTCGTTCCAGGGCTGACTGCACCTCTGTCTCCTTTCTGGTCTCTCTGAGTGCACCCACTCAGGTCTTAGGCCTCATGCCTGTTCCTCTCTCGGGGTGGAATCATGTGATTCTCCCACTCTTAGACTGAGACGTGGGCTATAGTACCATGGGTATCAACTGAGCTTACCGAGCAGGTCCAAATGAGTTTGGGCACCTACCGTTCTTCCCTTTGGGAGTTTGTGACCAATGGTATAAGGTAAGCAGACCTTTTAGAACCCAAAATACTGTATTTAGCAATAGTAGAATGCATTCGAGAAAGGATTTCAAAACAACAGTCTACCCCTACCATCCTTTGGTGACCTAGGCAGGCCTAGCTTCTCCAGACCCTCAAGTGGCTCCTCTGTCCGAGTCTCATTCCAGTCTGGTTTCCCTTTTGGCTCTCCCTCCCCCTGAGAGAGTGGCCCCCTTTAAACCTTGCTAGTATCCTTTTTTTGTCTTGTGTTTTGTGGGCCTTGGCCTTTCCTGGTCAAAACCATTTTGTAGGTCGTCTGGAGACATGGAAACAGAATCATGGAAGGTGGTAACTCCAGCAATGCCTCTTAACCGTTTTTAAGCATTTGTTGAGAGGTGTTGATCTGGAGCCATTCTGCTCCTCTCTGCCTGTCAGACACCTGTTAAGCTAAACCAGTGTGTTCATACCATCCCAATAGTCCTTATTAGAGGGTAGTCCAAATCTGTGTGTCTATGTATAAGGGCAGAGTTTTTATATTCACAGCCTGGAGAGAAAGCAAATTCAGATACGTGAGGAAAAGATTAAGAGACGGCCGCTCAAAGAGAACAAGCATGCAACTTGTCTCAATTTCAGACTTTAGGACTCGGCATTTGCACCGCTACTTTACCTGCAAACCCTGCATGCCCAGTGCACACCCACTCTTGTGCTTCCTATTTATGTTCATGTGCATCACAATGAACATCCTGTCAAGATGAGTGTTTGCAGATGGGAAAAAGTAGGTGAAAGGTGGGAACAGACGGCATGAAAAGCAAATGCAGAGACTATGAAAAAAGGGAGGGGAGCGGAAGGAATAGAGAACTTCCAATGAAAGCATAGATAGTATTTATTGGGCCAGATCCTAACCCACTGACTTCAGTGGAACTACGTGTGTGCCACTGGGGATCTGGCCTACTGCCTATATCTACATTGAGTGTTTGGCCCCCATGGGTACGAGCGTAGCTTTCGAGGCCCTCCTGGCCCTGACATTACAATTAAACTGAATCAGCATGTGGAACGAAATTACAATCAAACTCCAGCCAACTATTCAAAGCTCCAAATAGTTGGAGGTTCACAAACCATCAGGCTCCCCTGTCACTGGTTCTTGCCCCTTTCCGCTGTTGCTTTTGAACCCCTTTCTGGGCCCACAGGATTATCGTTATTCGTTAAGTAACCTCCGCAAACCCCACTCGGAATGCAGGTGTTGTCTTGCTAGTGTGGCGGAACATGACAATGTAAACAATGCAGAAAACACAAGGCCCCCTAGATATAATATTTCTTCTTCTTGAAATGTGGCGTTGGCTGGGAAGAGCCAATGGATTGATATTCCAGTAGTGACACCCAGGGCTTTCTGCAGGTAGCATTACAGTACAACTATGCAGAATCCTGCCGGTAATGGATAGACAATCCAGACACAGGCTGCCATCCTGTATCTGAACGCTTTGCGGGAGTTCACACTCAAGAACTGACCAAGCACTGGACCTGATCCTGCTCCCGGTTGAAATAAATAGGAGTTTGGCAATTAAATTCAGTTGGAGCAGGAACAAATGGTACACTGGTTGCCAAGTGTGTCTGTAATGGAGATGCTGCGCGTCTTCTCGTTGGCTCATGATATTTTCAAGGGGGTGAATGGGTTTTAAAGTTAATGGGAAGTGCCCTGTTAAATACAAGCTGTGAAACTGGTCTTGGCAAATCACTGAATCCCTCTGTTCCTCAGTATGTCCGTCCGTAAAACGGGAGTGGTGATATTTACCTCCCTCCTGGCCGTGTGGGTGAGGGTTCATGTTTGAAGTACTCTGAAAAATCTTTCAGAGCTCTTTGAAAACTGAGGAGTGACGAGTTTTGTTATTGGCATTCAACAGCGTCAAAAGCAAAGGATCTGCCCTTGCACTGTACAAATGAATAAGTTAATTATGCCCTACATATTTTGGTTTGTCTAATATAAATGGGTATAGTTTATTACATACCCTATGGTCCCAGCTCTGCAAACATATACAAACTAGACTCCAGAGAGACTACTTCTGTGCTTAAAGCTAAGCATGTGCATAAGTGTTTGCAGGATCGGGGCTTTACTGTGTGTGTACGTACTTCTGTGTATATATTATAATATATTTTACATGTATACTCTCAATCATGTAAAACGTGATTTTTATATATATGATCACAATATTTAACATGCCTGTAAGGGTGTGTCCACACTGCAGTTAGACACTGGCAGCTGAACCGTGCCAGCCGACACCGGCTAAGGGGCTGTTTAATTGTGGTGTAGATGCTCAGGCTCAAGCTGCAGCCTGGGCTCTGAGACCTTCCCACTGCACAGGGTCCTAGAGCCCCGGCTCCTACACCACAGTTAAACAGCCCCTTAGCCCAAGCCCAAGTCAGCTGGCACAGGCCAGCCATGGATTTTTAATTGCAGTGTGGACGTACCTGGAGTGAGTTTGGCCTACCCATAATGTGTTACACGATTTTGCAATATATTTTCCTGTAAATAGCTTCAGATGTAATTTCGTATGCCTGAGTGTATAAAATAGATGAAGGGAAAAAATCCAAATGCTATAGCAAAGCTGAGAAGTCTTTCATTTTAAATGCCTCTTCAATATGTAGTTAAAAAGAAATATTTATTTTGTATACAAAATAGTCACCACATGTGCCAAAATGTGGCAAATGTATTCCAGAACACAACAGCTGCCTGAAAACATGTTTTTTTAAAAAATATGTATTGTTATATGTTATACATATAGTGTAATTAATATTTCCTACAGTGAAATAGACACGTTGTATACAAACTTTTGTATTATAGTCTAAGTATCGTAAATGGAGGAATTTTTTTTAAAATAAAACGTTTGTCTAAAGTGTGTATGTGTGTAATCTGTATAATTGGCTAGACAAAACAGGGGAATTAGGGTGTTTCAGCATGCCTGGTGTAGCCTGGTGCAAGTCATCACGATGAAGGTCAAGGGAGGGATTTTCAAAGAAGCCCTGGTCCAGGTCCTCAAAGGTATTTAGGCACCTAACTCCAGTGGGAGCTAGGCATGTAGTTACCTTTGAGGACCTGGGCCCTAGAGAGTATTGAGCATTGACTTTAGGATTTGTGCTCCAAAGTCACGTAGGATAACATTTTTCAAAACTTCCTAAATGACTTGGGAGCCTACGTCTCATTGAAAGTCATGCATTTTAGTTTCACTGGGGATAACAGCACTTCTTTACCAGACAGGGATGTTGTGAGGATAAATGCAATGATGATCGTGAGGTGCTCAGCTATCATGATATTTGGGGGCCATGTAAGTACCTAAGAGAGATAATCAGCAATTGGTTTGAGATGTCACTTTTCTGTCCTTGCACCCAAGAGCAGAGATTGGGATCTGTGAATGTACCGGGTATTATTGATTTGGTCTGAGGAAGGATGACCCGGTGGTTGGTGTGTGTGCCTGGATGTCACCAAATGAAAATAATAGGCAGTAGGCTTAAAACAAATAAAAGGAAGTATTTCTTCACACAACACACAGTCAACCTGTGGAACTCCTTGCCAGAGGATGTTGTGAAGGCCAAAACCATAACAGGGTTCAAAAAAGAACTAAAGTTCATGGAGGATAGGTTCATCAATGGCTATTAGCCAGGATGGACAGGAATGGTGTCCCTAGCCTCTGTTTACCAGAAGCTGGGAATGAGCGACGGGATGGATCACTTGATGATTACCAGTTCTGTTCATTCTCTCTGGAGCACCTGGCACTGGCCACTGTCGGAAGACAGGATACTGGGCTAGATGGACCTTTAGTCTGACCAACTAGGGCCATTCTTATGTTCTAGGATGTGGGAGACCTGGGCTTGATTTCCTGCTTTGCCACAGCCTGCCTGTGTGACCTTGTGCAAGTTACTTAGCCTCTCGGGGCCTCAGTTCCCCATAATAAGGGGTCCTGGAGAGGAGATGGGCATTGCCCATTAAAACATCATGAAATGATGCCCTTGGTCAGTCCTGCAGCCCACAGAGTTGCAACAACACAGCTGGCAAATACCATCCTCATTTTAATAGCGCAGTGAATACAAAAGAACTGATCATAGAAGGTTAGGATTGGAAGGGACCTCAAGAGGTCACCTAGTCCAACCCCCTGCTTGGAGCAGGACCAATCCCCAATTTTTGCCTCAGATCCCTAAATGGCCCCCTCAAGGATCAGACTCACAACCCTGGGTTTAGCAGGCCAATGCTCAAATCACTGAGCTATCCCTCCCCCCCAGGATGATGAACAGGTGCATCACTCTCCCTTGAATGGCTTTATCAAAGGAAGCAGGAATCTCTGGGAGCTGGGAAGGATTGTCTCTGGGCCATGGAGTTTGGGGAAAGAGTGGAGTGATTAACTCCATAGGGTGCCATACCTCTCTGGGCTGATGGCCTCTTGTTAACCCACATTCTGCATTTTAATCATTATGTCCTCTAGAGACTACAGCCCTGAAATGCTGGTAAATGTATACAACTGCCCAGGACTAACCACCTTGCCAGCAGTGAATAAGGAACAGATTTAACCATTTTAAAAAAATATAAAAGAGCAATTTCTTCATGCTCTGATATAAGTCAAGGCTTCTGTGGTTGATTTTTTGAGCTTTCCTGTTTCTTTTAGGGAATTTAGAAGGGACAGTTAAAAATTAGATGAAAAAGAGGATTCAAGCAACTTAGGGTATAACAGCCGCGACATTTATTTTCATCCCTCTTCCTGGGCAGTCATAAAATCGTGAAAGAGAAAAGGAATCGAATACCCTCTTTGGAGATGGATTCACATGCGGGCCAGACCCTCGGCTGACGTAACTTGTGGTAGTTCCATTGAGGGCAACGTGTTTTCTATAAGATCTTGCACTTCTGAGCACTCTTTTTCTGAGCATCACAATGAGAGCCTTGCGTAGCCTTTCAGTTCTGTTCTAAAGAGAGCTGGGTTTACATTCAACTGGTCCTGCAAAAGAAGTGTTCTCCTGATGCTCAACCGTAGTTGTGCATAAGTATGTTGCAGGCAAGGGGACGGTGTGTGTGTGTGTGCCTTAGACTGCATCTCATCCTTCGCTGTCCTGGTCCAGCTTCCCTGTGGATCAGGACTCGAATTACACAGGGGTGCTGGAATGAGGTGCATCAGCAGAGCTGTGTGAACAGGTCTATAAAGCCATGATTTGAGGGATGTTGGCAAAACGGTGGGGAACTGGTGCAGCAATGACTTACTTGGATTGCAGCTGGTTCTACCAAAAGCAACCACATCAGAATGACTCTCAGCCTCTCCAGATGACTGTACCCCTTGCAGAAGTCTGATTTGTCTTGCGTACCCCAAAGTTTCACCTCACTTAAAAACTACTTGCTTACAAAATCAGACATAAAAATACAAAAGTATCTACTACTGAAAAATTGTTCACTTTCTCATTTTTACCATAGAATTATAAAATAAATTGATTGGAATATAAATGAACTTGCATTTCAGTGTATAGTCTTTAGAGCAGTATAAAGAAGTCATTGCATGACATTTTAGTTTGTACTGACTTCACTAGTGCTTTTTATGTTGCCTGTTGTAAAACTAGGCAAATACCTAGCTGAACTGATGTACCCCCTGGAAGACCTCTGCGTACCCCTAGCCCCAGGTACATGTACCCCGCTTGAGAACCACTGATCTAACCAACTGAATTAAAGCAGGAGGAGCACAAAGCTCCTGTTAGGGTGAAAGAAAGAGAGAGAGAGCAGACTGGAGACAGAATCTCATAGCTTTGTCTCTGGTTTCCCTAGTCAACTAGGAGAATTCCCACCAAATTCCCATGTACTTAATCAAATAACACATACAGGTCCTGATCTGATCCAAAACCCACTGAAATCAAGGGAAAGATTCCCATTAATTTCAAGGGGCTTTGGATCCGCTTCAAATGGTGTAAAATAGAACTGAATCTAGACCTTTTGGGCTTCATTTTCTGAGGTGGGCTGAGCATTGATTTTACTGAGAATGACATAGCTGAAAATCGGGCCCTTACAGTCTATAGAATTTGACAAATGTATTGATTTGATATTGAAGGATGGCGCCGGTAAAGCTCAGCTTTCTGCTTTTTATTTTTTTTAGGTTTAACCTTAAAAAAAGAGATGGCCCAGTTGAACTTTAACCCCTTCCTCTTCACCGGGTAGAAAATTGCAGAGCCTGCATGTGGTAAAACCCCAACTCTACCCAAAACGCTGATAGGCAATTACGTGGAGGGGAGCATAGAGTCTGAAAATAACCAAGTGCTCCGTGCTTTTGTACCCACACTGCTCTTACCGAGCCTGCCCACGTGACAGAGAGAAACTTTCCCTTCTCTGAGGTGGGTACCTGCATGACAAAGCCAGTTCCTGTTTTTAAACCTTTTTAGATTTCCCCGTTTTTGAGATGGCTTCTGGCAAGAAGACCCAGAGATGCTTTCTAGCTCATGCAACTTTGTCTCAGCCCGTGATGCTAGGTCTATACTAGAAACATTTGCTAGTACAATGATGTCAGGGGTCTGATTCTTTATACTGGCAAAAGCCCAAGAGTAGACACTGGTATCCCAGCAGAAAAAGTCCTTTTGCTACAGCTTGTTTTATTGGGGGAACTGGTATAAGCTGTACCAGTAAAAGAACTCTCTGCTGGTATGAGTTGTAGATCTAGTTATACTGTACTGGCTAATCCTCTCTAGACATCAGACATTGCAGCCACAGGCCCATCTTTTCTGTCTTGTAGAGAGAATATTTGTAACGAATATGTTTGGGGACAATTTTCATTTTTTCGCAATAAATGACAAAAAAAGGTGAAAAGCAAAAAACCTCCAAGAGTTTGGATTTTCAAAACTGACAATCAAAATTGTTTTGGATTTTTGATTCATTCCCCATTTTTCTTTTTTTACCTCTTCCCCACCTTTTTCCCCCCCTTTTCTCATTTATTCCTGAGGGGGGGAGGGGCTGGAAGGAAAGCGGGGGGTGGGGGGGCAAAAAACTCATGAAAAACAGGAATCTTTTCCTTTTTTGCATAAAACACTCACCAGCTTGGCCTGTTGACTTCTTGCATTTCAGGGCTGAGTTGGAAGGGCTTCAGACACAAAGCTCCCTGCCCCAAAAAGTTTATAATCTAAGTAATGAGATGTATACTGCTGGAAGCCAGGCCTTTGATTCACAAGTAAAACAAAATCAAGTCAGGCCCCTTCCAACAAAGTATTTAAGTATGCTTAACTTTCCGCGCAAGCACTCCCTTTGAAACTTCCCAGTTGTCTCGCACTTCAAAGGCTGTCACCAGCACTGATCAACAAAATTCAAATTTTTTTGATGAAAAACAGGGTCAAATTTTCCCCCCAAAAATGTTCTTGTTTTTCAACCAGCTCTAGACACTGCTAATAATTCCCAAAGTTATCTATGTTCTATGAAAATCTGGCATCCCCTCACTTTAATTGTTGGCCATTACTTACATCAGAAAGGCAGAATCTTGTAACTAAGGTTCTCAAAGAACTTTTTAGGTTAAAGGAGAGAAATGTGCAGCACTCTGTTTCCTGCCTGAAGTTTTGTGTGTTTTTTTTTTAATTTTGGCCCTCATTTTGCCACATCTGGCAGGTTGAGTGGTCTCAACAGGACACCTCATTTGCTTATAGTTAAGCCCATGATTAGTTCTTTGCTGTGTTCAGACCTTGAAAAAGATCTGCTCAGGCTTGCATGCTATCTCTTTAAAATATTTGAATGACCAGCGTTAGCCAGGCGCACCTGGGGTAGCTGTCCCTTAGAGCTAATTTCAGACTGCATATTTGACTGTAATATTCAACATGCATACTGCATTCGTTAGTTACGCTTTTGAAAAAATTGGCCAATCACATTATTCTCTTTTCTCACTAGC